CCCGCTCACGTGATAACATAATACGTCCCCGTCTTTGACGGGCGTATAAAAACTTAATGTTGATAGAGATGCTGACAAAGTCAATGGACTATGACAGGTTGGCCTTATCCAGCATTTGATGCATGGGTTGTAATGTACTACCTAAAATGCATCTATGGTCAAAGTTTGGTTGGTGTAGCGCTAATGCTTTCAGAGAATTTATCTTAAAATGCAAAAACTTAATGTTGACGCCATAGCGGAAAGCAACACCTAAGTCTCACTTCCACATCGTTGCAGCGAGACGAAAATCACTAAATGAATATTTAGATATCATTTACTCTTCGAAAAAGAAATTGTAACAGAATCATGGTTAATATATTTGCAGCAAAATCCTTTTTGTTATCAATAGAATATGACACATACTGAGACTGAATGGATATTCGGGCCAGGTATCCTACAAAAGCTTATACATTGTATATGTATCTGAAAACTCTTCACTAAGTATGACTCAAGATCGGGTAGACACTTGCAGACATAGCTACAGCTTCTATTGTTGTTTAACTGAAACTGTTCACAACGTCTGACTCTAGATCAGGTAGACACTTGCAGACATATCTACAGCTTCTATTGTTGTTTAACTGAAACTGTTCACAAGGTCTGACTCTAGATCAGGTGGACACTAGCAGACATAGTTACAGCTTCTATTGTTGTTATATAACTATAACTGCCATTATCTATATACACTAGGGTACATCTATAAATGATCAGACTAAAAGTTAAGAGTGTTCCTGTATAAAAAAATATGGATTTGAAATTTTCACCGTATTTCATTTATTGGGTGTAATTTTCAGTCATCTAGATATCGTCACCGCATATTGAGAGAATTCAACCTCCATGGACATACCTCCCTGTACAGTAAAAAAAATGGTCTGCTCTGACATCCTTAAATATAATATATGTACTGGACAACTTGGATTTTATAAAGAAATCTCCACCACAACTGGAAGTACACTTACCCAATGGCCCTGTTGTCTGGGGTGTCGTGGAGTGTTGGTACTGGGCACATCACAGTTCTGTAATGAATAACACACAAATCATGTTACACATGCTGTATACAACAAGAGACCCATCAGACCTGCTTCACTCCTGTTTCTTTGTTATCTAAACTTGACAAGTTAAAATGTTTCCACAACTTAAGATCATGGTAGCCATCGAAGACTTCTGATTGATAAAAACAATTAATATATATTTAGTAAGGAAAATTATCTGAACACTTGTACTTCATTTACTTCAAATTCCTGTGCTTAACATATGATCAGGAAGACACTGTAATCGATATCCCTCCCCTGCAGTGCAAAATTCATTAAAAAAGTGAAGCACAAAATATGGGTCAAAATCAGCATCCGCAATATGCATTCAGTAGAGCAACCTTAGATACACATTTGATGCAAAACTAGGCTAATCATAATCAACATAGCACTTGTAGTAGGCAAGATATAGATGAGAGCAATTCTTCTTAACCAGGTGCATGGACGAATGTATGGACGCACTCCATTTCTATATCCCCCACCAACTCGTTGAGTGGGGGATAATTACTCAAGCATGGCTCAGCCAATCAGAGAACAGGTGGTTATCTTTGATTGTAAATTAGTCCAAAAATCTACTCTTGGTCGAGGCTATGGGAAGAACATTTGTATATAGTTGGTTGAAAATCTGACAGGTGCAAATTGGAAATAGAAAATGTCTCTACTGCTATTATGAAAATTTCCTTTTACACAACCAATAAAATGTTCTATGTGACGTTTCGATGACTAGTATGGTATGTACACTGTCACCTTCATCAGATAAATGACCAGTGAAGTGTATGCACACAAAGGTGTAAAACAAGAGAGCAAGAGTCGCCACAGCTAATCAGACACTAAGGTGTACACCAGTTTATTTCTTTACTTTATAAACGATATCCCTGTGGGTCTAAATGCTACAATCCGTCTATTTGCAGACGACACTAATGCATATCTAGTTATCAAGTCAAACAGTGATGCTGAAACACTTCAAAAAGATCTTGACAAACTAGCGCTCTGGGAAAATACATGGAAAATGATCTTCCACCCAAACAAATGCAATGTGTTGTCGGTGACTAAAAACAAAACTCCAATAGTCTATAATTATACTCTACATGGACACATACTGGAACATCTTAGTCAGGCCAAGTATCTGGGTGTAACACTATCATCTGACCTTAAATGGGATTCACATATAAATACTATCTGCCCAAAAGCAAATTCTACGCTAGGGTTTTTAAGACGAAATCTTAAAATTGGCTCAACATCAGCCAAAGTACAGGCATACAAATCATTAGTTCGACCATCACTTGAGTATGCCTGTACAGTATGGGACCCTCACACCCAAACAAATATTGACAAGTTGGAAATGGTCCAGCGAAGGGCAGCACGCTATGTGCTCAATAAGCACAGGTACGACCATCGTACCTCCAGTGTCAGAAATGTTGGACCACCTAAAGCTGCGCCCTCTAGCAGATAGACGTAGAGATGCTCGTCTGACCATGCTTCATAACATTGTAAACCAGAAAGTCGCTATCGTAAAATCAGACAGATTAATCCCTACAGTTAGAAAATCCTGAACAAACCACCAGTTTTCGTATCAAATTCCCCACTCAAAAACCCAGACCAGAAAGGCATCATTCTTCCCTCGAACTATACCCGAGTGGAATAAACTCCCACCCGACATTATTTCGAGCCCCACAACGGAATTATTTAAATCAGCCCTCTACCGTCACCTTTCAAACGCAAATTAGACCATCTCGTATTTTTTAAAAACAATCTCTTTCCATGTTTCACTCCTCGTCTGACATTTTATCTTCAAATTGTTGAAGTTGGTCAGTACCATTTAGAAGTAGAAGTAGAAGTACACATTTGATTTCAAATCAACGAGAACATTCAATTTAATATAATACCTGGAAAAGAAGTCAAATTTGTTGGTAAATTTCCCCATGTAGCCAAATTGCCTTGCTCAATACAACAATGCAAACCCTTCATCCAGGGATGTTCCAAGCCCAATTAGGTCTAATTTTGAAAAAGATCTTCTAAAAACCTCTACTAAAACCAGGTCAGCTAAAATATTTTCTTGGACGCGTTGATTCACACCTGTCGTATGGTTTACAGGTGTTTCCCACACAGATGTTCAGTTACTTACCCTCCGGTCATCACAGCTGTTTCATCACACCACACCTTGCCTGCAAGACCCTGAGTTTTTTTGGGATCCATGTCCACTGGCTAGAGTATTGAATAGAAAGTCATGATCATCACATCATTTATTTAGTGTGAATACTATGGTAAATATAATGCAGTCTGTAAAATACCACCAGTTTCATAGCTAACTGTCTGCAGCTGATTTAGGAACAAATTATTTCACCAGTCATTTACTAACAATGATTCTCAATTTAATACACTGTTGACCTTTGACTCCTGATCAGCTGTGATAAGATATATCCCACTTAAACTTGACCCCTCAACTAATACCTTTTATTAGAATGTGGTGGTGCTACAAACCTCTTCTGTCATTGTGCCCTCATAGAGGCCCTCAAAGAATGTGTAGACAGGGTGACGAATACCAACAAACGCCCTGTCACTACCTTTGGTGTTCCTCTTCCCTACAAACAAGAATAACGGATAAAGGATACTTGTGAATCACTATTTTACTATAATCAAATATCAAAATTTCATTCATTTGTTTCAAGTCATGTTCTATGCAAATAAATAACTATCGAGTTATTTCAAGTTGACATTATGGAGATTATATCACACGTCAAACATTCCTGAAACATGTGTTTGGATCATACCAGGAAGAAAATAATGATAAATCAATAATATGAATTTGTAATAAGCCAAAAAGGTACTATGATAAGAACATATGGTATAATGGGTAGTATTTTTCTGAAAATGTATGCAAGGATGTTTCTCTCATCTGTAAAATATGTTTTCACAATGGGGTAGACTCATTTTTAATTACGAAGAATAAGCTTCTTACTGGTAAAATCTATATACATGTATAACAAGGATAGAGCTTATTAGAAAGGATGAGCTAAGAACAAGGGGGTGGATCTAATATTGAGCAGAGACGCCTTGTTCGTAAAATAAAAATATATGACAGTTTAGATAGATAGCTTACTCTCTCCACTTGTGAGATCAGGATACACAGTAGCCAGGGCAGACAGAAGTCTCTTCTCATCCACAAATGGCAGTAAGGCAACACCTTCAAATTACAATAAACAGTAACCTTCAGATAATTTACCACAGGGATGAATCAGACATGGGGTACAATATTCAAGCTATTTTCTATATCTCTGAATTGTAATGTTATGTTCCAGTATTTTCATGAAGATGTAAACATCAATCCAGGGTTTAGTTTCTGCTTTCCATAAGAAAATGTTACACTATATAACACAGATGATATAATTTCTATGAAGTCACATATGATTTATATTGAACAATCTTCAGAGAGTTTTATAGAAGTTATATGGGATGGGTTCTTATACTTATAGCATGTATTACACATGTTACAAATCGAAAATCTATGTTATGGTGTTATATGTAACATACATGAAAATTATATGTGATGGCGTTGTTATATAAATTACTTATCAAATATCTAATAGTGATTGGTGTTGTTACAATTTATACGCTGAAAATCTATGTGATTGTGTGTATACCCTGATTGTTTTCCAGGTCATGTGATACAAACCTGTATGCAGCTGACAGTATAAGTAAATAGAGAAGATAACAACGCTTTTTACCTTGCCAGGCATATTTCTTTCCATTCAGATCTATCTTGAAGTCAATTGGATAGAAGTCAATAATTGGAGATTCCTGAAAAAATTATAAACATGACCAGAAATATTTACATGCATTACTTATTTTACTTCAATACAATCAAATGCATATTTTATTTCATACAAACTTTTAAATAAAGTAAAAAAAAAAATCAATATCTGTCATTTTAAAACAAAATGAATGTTACTTACAGGATCGGTCATCAGCCGTTGCCAGGTTACAGGGAGGTGCTCTTTACTGCCAGCAGGGAACACACCCATCAACTGCTCTAGGGGTTTGAACTGCAAGTAAGAAACATATTGAGAATACTTCTCTTAGAAGCATTTCAAATTAGCATAAATGTTAACTTCCTATACTTCTCATTTGAAGAAATAAATATGATAAATTATAGATTGTTATTTTTTTAAATCTATTTATTCCACAGCCAATTTCTTAATATCTTACTTGATCAAATTGAAAATTGAATATAATGTACACTGTCAAAATTCATATAGGTCTTTTTTATTCAACACATCAGATGAAGAAACAAGCTTCTAATATCATTATATGACATATACTTACTGGTTCTGTATCCATTTCAAATGAGTTTGACAATTCTCCAATGTTGACGAAGTCAGATGCGAACGGTGCATAGTGATATGGGAAATACCACTTCCAAGACGGACAACCCTGAAATGTTCACGCCATGTTAAACACAACCACTCCACCATGAGGACAACTCCTTAGTGTATCACACCCCGTTTTTAACAAACCAAAATCATGACGAGCGTCAACTCTGTAGTGTATCACATATAATTAATTAAAATCGTTCTAGTTTTTTGGTTTTCAGATATATCTTCAAATTACAGAAAAAAGGAAAGATTTATTACCACTTAAGTTAACCAGCCATACCTTTATTTTATTCTTAAATAAAAGAAATTAAAAAGAAAATCCATGTGCTCATAAATCTTTAAATTTTGAATTTTATTTTAGAATTTAACAAAAAAAAAATTATATTTCTTTCAGGGTACTAACCTGATAATAATACCTCAACACCCAGCACAGACCTCTGACATAATGGTTTGCCTGTGGATAAAATTTAGTAAAAATTAGAGAAGATTATATCAAATGTAAACAAATAGTTATTCAAATGATATTGCACATAATAGCAATATCAATTAATACAAAGTCCATCATTCTTTGATATCTTAATATAATATTTGTCAGAAAAAGTCCAGCGTGTTCCTCCCCTATACATGTATTAGCAGGGTCAGATAACACAAAATTTCTGTAATGCTTCAATTGTTTAGGGTCAAACTTCCAGTTTTGTTCTTTTAACAAATTAAAAGGGTGAAATTTTACATTAAATATGATTAAATAATCAAGTGATTTCTTTCAGAAGGGCATCAAATTAACTGTGTTTATATATTTTGTGTCTTTTTTCATACAGTGAATACCTGTATAATGAAAATAAAACTGCCACAAAAACACAGGTATAAGTGCTATATATAAAGCAACATCTTTAAAACCTAATATTATATGAGATGATCCTTATCAAATACCATCTGCAACATGTTTTAAACATGACTTAACGTTTCAACATGTTATGTTCAAGGTCAAACTCTTACTTACAACATTTTGTCTGAAAGCTCCATCATCACTTCCAACGTTGAACTTGTTTTTGTAATATCTATCCTTCCAGCCATCTTCCCATAACCTGAAATGGATGACGATAGGGATAGCAGATCCTTTATTTAACTCATTCACCCCTACATACTTAAACTGGACTTGCCAAGTCTTATAATTTGGTAAAGTTCAAATGTGACTTAAGGGTTGAATGGATTGTTGATATCATTACTGATATTAAATTGGTGTTATCATTAATAAGTATTGTTATGTATAATAAAGTACCATTGAGGAATCTATTAGAGGTTAACATGTGACCTTGAACCAAGATGTGTAAATCTACACAACAGTAAGATGTTTAACTCAGGGTGAACATGGTGATAACTAAACAAGGTCATTGACTGTTCTGAGCAAATAATTGTGACAATAAATTACATTTTCAATTACAACTCTGTGACATGTTTGTGATAAGACAACATTTGGCTTAACCTATCTATTTGACAACATTATGTCTGCTTTCTTATTATCCATAACTTCCTAAAGTTACCATGACAACTTCCTTGATATTGTCATGACAACAACTCTGATAAAAACAGCTGTACCATGACAACTTCATTGATATTATTGCGACAACTACCTCAATAATACCATGACAACTACATTGATATACCATGACATTTACTTTGATATACCATGACATTTACTTTGATATACCATGACATTTACATTGACAACCTACTTCACATCATCTGGAGGTTCTGGTTCCTCTTCATCTTCATCTGGTCTTTTCACCCCCTGATCATCCGCTGCCTTTTCTGGATTTCTCTATCAATGTAAAATGTCTTTTAAGGCTCTGTTGCCATTTTTTAAACACTCATGATTAGTGACAGGTCTGGGCTTTTTCATGACTGTAATCAAGTGTCAATATTCTACATGCACTGATGTGAAAATCAAACTTGATTAAATAACTACAAGAGCATATATGAATTAAGAATTTCAATTCTCAGGTAGTTACACTATAATTTGTTTTGTTGTCGGAAGGAAATTCCCTCATTTTTTTCTTGTTGTACAAGTAAAATGACAACACATCCATATATTACCAGCATGGCTTTGAGAGCATGAGCTGCGCCTGAGTTGGAGGAGTCTCGACTGCTCTGTCCTCTCGAGTCTCTGGAGGAGTGGGAGTGACCTAGGGGTTGAGGGGCCAGGGCTCCACCAGGAATCCACTTCGGTCCCTCCTGCATCTGAAAATTGCAGTAAACAGAAAAAACATTTAATCCCTATAATTTGATGTTAAAATATTTTATATATAGTTATCTAGTAAACATTTAATATTACCATGAAAATAAACAAGAATTCCACAGGAATGGATCTGTTGCCTGCGCAGATTTTCTATGTGTAGTAATGGTGACCTTGACCTTTGACCCTAGGGCCTGAAAAGCAATCCTAAGCAAGCACTTTTAGTAAGGAAGCACTGTATGAAGATTGAGTTCAATCAACCCTAAGACTCAAGTTATCGCACAGAAACATATTTTCTATTTATAGTAATGATGACCTTGACCTTTGACCTTCGGACCTGAAAAGCAATCGCAAGCAAGCACTATTGGTAAGGAAGCACTGTATGAAGTCTGAGCTCGATCAACCTAAAGTAACTTGAGTTGATATAAATGTGTTTACTGTCACCGTTTTGTTAGTGACTGTGACCTTGCCATTCATTTACTGTGTTTATGGCGCAAGTTATTTTGTGTTTCAGAATAACAATTTCGTGGTCAATGTTGCTATAACTAAAACTAGAACCTTGGCTTTGAGTTAGAAGTCTTGAACAAATAATTAAAAAGTTTTTGCAGTTTCGACAGAATGCCCTTATTTGGCAATGAAATGTGGCATAACTCTGCCAAATAGTGTTTAAATGTCACGATTTAAGAACTTATTCAAAGCATTCAGGTAAAGAAACAACCAAATAGTTCAATATAAATCGGAGAACAATTGTTTGAGTTATCGTGTAGACAAGTAAAAGTTAACGGCAAAAATGAAGTACAGTGTTGCTATGTCAAGTGTGATACGCCAAAATGCGGAAAGTTGAAACTAGACAGAAAACCCCATAATATATATTGAACATTATTACTTCTAGCCATTACCGTACTAAATTTGAAAGGAATTGATTAAAAAAAATAAAAAAAATCTTGCATTTACTACTCAATGCCCTTATTTGGCAATAAAAGGGGCATAACTCCACCAAAATGCACGTAAACTTCTTAAATGCAAACTTGTTCAAGCTATATTGGTATGCACTATGTGTACCAGGTTTGAGTTTGAGTTCAATCAGCACAAGGGAACTCAAGTTATCACACGGAAACCTGGTTTCGGACAACGCAATTGACGACGACAAAGTAATACACAGATACACAAGATTTATTCTGACAATATACATGAAATATGTACAGGATTAACAATCCTTTGGTAGTCAGCTCGTAGTATACTTAATTATAATTTTAAAGTTCACAGCTTGAGTTTTTCTTTGAAACAATACTTTTGTGGCTGATTTTTTCAATGTTCATCAAGTTTGTACTCAAATTGTTTAACTGAAATCGCATTTACAACGTTAAATGGAAGGCTATTCCACATATCTCCTCACATCCAACCTTGAAAACCCTTTATATATCTTAAAGTTAGGTCCACGTGTGCTTGACCCTTCGTTGACTGAAAACAAGTCTGCGACTACTCTGTCATATTTCCCGGGAAATTATTTTATATACCTCTATCATGTCACCACGTGATCGCCTATATGCTAACGTTTGTAACGAGAGTTTTTGCAAACGTTCCGTATAAGACAGATTACAAAGACCTGGTACTTGTTTTGTTGCCTGACGTTGAACATTCTCGATTGTTGCTACATGTTTTTCTAAATGAGTGCACAAGACTTGAACAGCATATTCAATATGAGGTCCGACTAAAGCTGTGTATAACAGTTTGACACTGTGTGGGTCCATGTACTCTATTGTCCTCAGCAATACTCCCATGATCGAATTTGCTTTGTTAATCTTTTCACAGATGTGTTTATCATCTATGGTGACACCAATATCCTTCTCCTAGTCCACAAGTTTTAATGGTTGGGCATTTTCCTTCAGTGTGTAGCTACATTTATCAATATTTGTGTATCCCACACGCATCATTTTACATCTGTCTGGATGGAAACGTAGTTGCCAGGTTTCTGACCATTGGTCTAACGAAAATATATCTTGTTGCAAAATCTTGCATTCTTGTTTATCCTTTATTGTTCTAAAAGCTTTTGTGTCATCCGCGAAAAGGTAAGTGCCTGTTCCCACGCTTGTTACATGGGGCATATCATTTACATATAATACAAAACAAGCGGTCCCAACACAGATCCTTGTGGTATACTGCTTATTACTGGATTCCATTGCGACTTTTCGCCATATAATATCTATATGTCGCCTCGCATTGCAGGCGACACAATAAAACAGCTGATAATTTTCAATTTGAAGATTTTGCTTTGTAAGCCTTGGATGATATTATTGTCTATAGATGTATTTATATAGTTTAAATATGTGTATTAATGATTTCAGCTCAGTATCCTTAGCCTAGCCACAACTGATCTAATTGTCCCAAGCTCAATTTTACAGGGACCAATCTCTCCTACTTTTCAAATATTGTCTCAGACTTTCACAATCTAGTCAATTTAGTTTGGAATGAAATTTATATAGGTGGACTTATGAGAATTCATTGACTATAATATTTTCCATGCAAACTCATACACTGAAACTTCACTGCAGCCATACTGCAATTTGAGTAGCAAACGAGATAACTAAGATATCTATACTCATTGATCTAAAACTCTATATAAAGGTTAGCTACAAAGTCACACTAGCACTGACAGAAGTTGAACCTATCCCACATTAGTATTACTGTCAAACAGGCCACAACTGAAACACTTACTCTCTTGGCTCTCTGCTTATTGTCGCGATCACGCTGTCTGAAGAACATCTGAAAAGCCAAATATTGGTAAGTTAAGACTGACATTTTCCCTTCATTTACAATATTATTTCCCCAATATTTTTTAAAGAAAAGAGATTAAAAGAAAGATTTGGTAATAATATGTTCACAATTACAATTTCACTGAAGATGTTGAATACAATTTCAATTAAAATCTAGCAAAAATAATTTAGATTTAGAACAATTTTATAATCAATCTGTAAAAAAGAAAATACCTCTTTGCTTCTTCTGCTTTTGAATATTTCATCTTCTACCGCACCAAGATCTGGAAGTATAATGTTCATTAAGTAACAACATCTAGTTATACATTATATCAACCTATCACATCCTATCCTGAAAGTGTAAATGAGACTTTGAGGTATCATGTATGACCGCAATGTCACTTAACCGTGATTCTGTCCTCACAGCTTGATTCATATTATTTGATTTAGGTTTACAAAAACATTACAATCAGTCACACTTGTACTAAGTGGCAAACAGTCAAACCTATAAGGATGAGCTATACTGGCTGTGATTTACAAAACAGAACCAGCCATCCAGCTGCCACGTACTTACCTGACACTAACAGAACCAGCTGTACCCGGCTGAAATGTTACTTACCTGACAGGACCAGCTGTACCCGGCTAAAATGTTACTTCCCTGACAGGACTAGCTGTACCCAGCTGAAATGTTACTTATCTGGCAGGACCAGCTGTACCCGGCTGAAATGTTACTTCCCCGACAGGACCAGCTCTACCTGGCTGAAATGTTACTTACCTGACAGGACCAGCTGTACCCGGCTGAAATGTTATTTACCTGACAGAACTAGCTGTACCTGGGTAAAAGTGTTACTTACCTGACAGGACCAGCTGTACCCAGCTGAAATGTTACTTACCTGACAGAACTAACTGTACACAGCTGAAATGTTACTTACCTGACAGAACTAGCTGTACCAGCTGAAATGTTACTTACCTGACAGAACTAGCTGTACCTGGGTAAAAATGTTACTTACCTGACAGAACTAGCTGTAACTGGCTAAAAATGTTACTTACCTGACAGAACTAGCTGTAACTGGTTAAAAATTTTACTTACCTGACAGAACTAGCTGTACACGGGTAAGGTTCAACACACCATTCTCTGTCAGGTATCCCTGATAACAGAGCAAACATCAGTTAGTAATGACTATATCATTCAGAAATTCTGATGACAAACATCAAGTACTGAGTATTGAGTGAAAAGAATAGCTTGTACTTATTACAATAAACTGTCTGCAGTCTTTTTGGTCAGTGCAATAAACTTCAACAAATAATTGCTAATTTAATCATTTGTGATTTTCATAAACATCTGGAGACATAAAAGCCAAGTGTTCACCCATAACTTACCCCAGTCTTTCTGACACAGTCTTTGTATAGACGTTGAAGTCGGTCAATTGCTCCTTCTCTAAAAATTGGAAAATTTTATAAAGACTTTATTTTTGGCCTTACAAAATAACAAAATAGAAACGCTGCAAAGTCTTTACAATTCTGAAAGTTAGGAGTTCTGAATAAAAATGATGTTAAACAATATTTCTAACTTTGCAAATGTGTTGCAGGAAAAAAACTGAAACTTTTCCCCCTGAAACAAAACATTGTGCAATGTATGTAATTCAAAGGCAACATAATTGCCACCTCTCCCCATTTAAGAGGGAAACTCCTGATTGTGAACTCTAAAACTGAACATTTTCATCCAATTAATTTGTTAACTATTCCTATGTTCTAAGATATAAGACTTACCCTAAAGAAAAATTCAATATATGCCATTTAAAAGTGTTATCTGGTCCCTAGGTGGTATACACACAATTTATTTAGTCTTTTAATTTTGAGCACACAGAATCCTTCCATGATATTCGAAATGTTGGCAAGTATAAATACCAGTAAAACATACCTTATTTCCAGTGATGGCAGATGAGGTAAGAAATCATTACCCACGAAGAAACACATGAGCACCCAATCATCCAATGCTCTCTGTAACACAACAGTACAAAATCAACAACAGCCTGTACCAACACATTTAAAAGTAACACAAAATTGTGTTCTTGAAATGCCCTATTTACCTATGAAAAGTACATGTTATATATCAACTTTTAAATCGTCATTATATGATCAATTGATTTTTTTTTTTTTTTTTGTTGTTTTTAGGATTATTATATAAATCACTTTAACTCGCAATATGTAAATTTGAATTGTTGGTAATAGGAAAGTTAGTTTAAGAAAGAGAAAAATTGGATAGTGTAAGTCTTTATCAAGTTACAATATGCGAAAAAGTACTTTTCTTATCTCTTCCCCCCAAGGATTCATCTGATATAACTAAGACCACTTTCGCATATTTGATCAACGGTTTCCACTCGCTGATCCTGAGAGAAACTGGAGACATGGACCTGAACCGAAGCTGACCTGTGGAAAATATAGCATGTGCATATCTGGGGCCGGGGCCAGACATACTTGGCCAAAACTAAAAGGCTGACTATTGCTAGTTTGCATCATTTCTACATATTTCTGCACCACCTGAACCATTTCAACCAGGATATGCAAAAGCAGCCTTAGTCATGAAGTTAAGCAATTGTCACTGTTAATGCTAGCTCATGTATCATATACTGTACCTCAAAGTCATAGGTAAATGACAGGTTGTCCATGAGAAGTTCTCGCTCTAGGTATTCACGCAATATATTCAACCTCACAAAGATATACTGCTGTTCTTCTCCCACAAAGGGCTTCACTTCATCTCCCTGTAATCATATAGACATCAATGGATTAAAACCCAGTCAAAGGACTCGTACAAGATACAATAATTATAAACAGCAAGGCATCGAATACAGCACAATCCTTGGTCCTGTTATATCTAAGTAAATATTTAATGTAAAGTATTTATACTAGGCCATAATCAAATGTGCTTTTCCCCTTTAAACTGAATATTCAACAGACGATTTCACAGGGAAATATATAGGAGTACAGAGAATTTCGTAATTTTTACTAACTTTTTCTGTCCTTTCTTTTGGTAAACCAACACATTCTTTCATCTCATGACCTGCAAAATAGAAAATTTAAACACTTTGTAAACAGAAACATTTATGTTAATAGATTTCAAAGTTTTGGGAGCAATCAAAAACCCTCACCCATGGAATAAACTTCAGAATCAAAAAAGAATAAATGACCATAAATCAGTATAAAATAAGTCACAAAATCTTGTTTCAGTAAACGACTTTCTACCAGTCAAAGTAAACGACTCTCTACCAGTCTCTACGATACCAAGAGGTACTCTCATACAAAGATTGGCAATTTTAGGTGACAGAGAATATGTGATTACCCTGAAATGATGAGACGCACTGACAGAGTACAAACCAATAATCCCCTTTGGTAGTACTAATGGGGAACAAGAAATAGAAGACAACCTGTTTATAAAAAGAAACAGACAGAAGAGTAATACCATAGTATAACACAAGGCAGAAGTCATAATGATACTGCAGTAAAACACTTGGTAACAGTCTATACAGGGTATAATCATTGTGACAGGTTATACAGGTTTCTGGGTTATACAGGGTATAATCTTTGTGACAGGTTATACAGGTTTCTGGGTTATACAGGGTATAAACATTATGACAGGTTTCTGGGTTATACAGTGTATAACCAATGTGACAGGTTATACAAGTTTCTGGGTTATACAGGGTATAATCTTTGTGACAGGTTATACAGGTTTCTGGGTTATACAGGGTATAACCATTATGACAGGTTTCTGGGTAATCGACACATTTAACTACCATCTGTTTGATTGTTTTGAACATGCTGTGTAGACAAGCAGCAATATTTTATATAAAGAGCTATTTATAGATACCTATGTTTCGGGTGAATACAGGTGCGCTCATAGTTTTGTTTGTGTTTATATAGGGTTTTATACATTATATGACATTTTAAAACACTATATCACTATCATTTAGTAGTGTTTATACTGAATAGTGTCTATATACACCGTAGCTGGTATCAGTTAATCAGAAGGAACGCACATATTAGTGGGTGTTAAATATTAAGGTGTCGTATGCCATACTTTGGTTTGTGACAGGTTTATACAGGTTTCTGGGTTATACAGGGTTTAATCATTGTGACAGGTTTATACATGTTCCTGGTTTATACAGGGTATAATCATTGTAACAGGTTTATACAGGTTTCTGGGTTATACAGGGTTTAATCATTGTGACAGGTTTATACAGGTTTCTGGGTTATATAGGGTTTAATCATTGTAACAGGTTTATACATGTTCCTGGTTTATACAGGGTTTAATCATTGTGACAGGTTTATACAGGTTTCTGGGTTATACAGGGTATAATCATTGTGGCAGGTTTCTCGGTTATACACGGTATAATCATTGTAACAGGTTTATACAGGGTTCTGGGTTATACAGGGTATAATCATTGTGGCAGGTTTCTGGGGTATACAGGGTTTAATCATTGTGACAGGTTTATACATGTTCCTGGTTTATACAGGGAATAATCATTGTAACAGGTTTATACAGGTTTCTGGTTTATACAGGGTATAATCATTGTGGCAGGTTTCTGGGTTATACATGGTTTAATCATTGTAACAGGTTTATACAGGTTCCTGGTTTATACAGGGGATAATCATTGTAACAGGTTTATACAAGTTTCTGGGTTATACCGGGTTTAATCATTGTAACAGGTTTATACAGGTTTCTGGTTTATACAGGTTATAATCATTGTGGCAGGTTTCTGGGTTATACATGGTTTAATCATTGTAACAGGTTTATACAGGTTTCTGGTTTATACAGGGTATAATCATTGTGGCAGGGTTCTGGGTTATACAGGGTATAATCATTGTGGCAGGTTTCTGGGTTATACAGGGTATAATCAGTGACAGGTTTACACAGGTTTCTGGGTTATAGAGGGTATACTCATTGTGACAGATTTATACAGGTTTCTGGGTTATACAGTGTATAACCAATGTGACAGGTTTATACAGGTTTATGGGTTTTATAGGGTATAATCATTGTGACAGGTTTATGGGGTATACAGGGTATAATCATTGTGACAGGTTTATGGGGTATACAGGGTATAATCATCGTGACAAAGTACTCACCAATCTGTCCACAGAGTTCACATGGTCTTGGCTGATTAGGTTTGAATTCTTCTCTGATGATGGTGAAGTACGGTTCATGTGTTGCTAAACCTGATGATACAAAACATATGGTATGATATTAGGAGTGTACCTTATTAATCACCTATTATCCTTCTTGAATATGATCATTTTTTTGTAACTCGCTCCAATCATATGACACATATCCTTTGTTATTTAGTACTATTAGTCTACACATTGAATTTATTTTTGCTAATGCAAAATGTTATGATTTTAAGAAGACTAGACAAATATAAGCCACTTACCCAACATGATTAAATCAGCTGAAACAGAAAAACATACATGTTTAAAACAGGCCAAGACTCTCCTCTCCACTCAGGGTACTTAACCATCTCTTATCCATTACTTTGTATGATTGTTTGTTTGAAAATACAATTATACATAGTTATGACCTATGTTATATTTCATTCCACTTCATCTAAACTCTGGAAGTATAAAAACCTTCAATCCCAAAAACCGAACACTGGTCCCAATTATATAATCAAGTGTTAAATAACGATTGTAAGGGTGCAGTTATATTTCCTAATACTGTCTGTTTAACATGTGAAATATGTGTGCTTTGCAGTATAGACTATGTATTCTTATCGCAGGTTTATTAATATGTTTAACATGAAAAACGACAAGGGCCTTCCTGTTTTTCATTCCTATACAAGAGAGTGCCTATGATTATCTACAGTCGGCATGACATTATAATTTGACAGAAGTAGCGTGCAGAATTGTTGAATTGTATTGTTTTATTACTACAGTTGTATCATTTTAATATCCTTTATGATATTGTTATATTAGTGTAACAAGCAAGACACTTACCGTCAGCTCCACACAGACAGTGCTTGGTGTTGGGATCATGGTCTGGTTGGGCTACAAAACATGAACATGAAACATGAACACAAAACATCACAAACGTCTTTATACGATTTTGTTTTAACATTATCAAAAATAGTAAAACTAGCTGGTTTTCCTTCATAGCTGATGCTGTTCTTACCAATTAAGTGCACACTAATAACATGATAATTTACTTGTATTGCAGAAATTGAAACATTCCAATCTATTAAGTTATAAAGAAACAACAGTTGTACCAAGATCTTTTTAAAGTGTAAACGTATATAAAACTGCAATGCCACTGTCCAGTATCAGTTTCAGTTCATGTCATTTTATTTCAGTCCTTTTCACACAACATATCTCTGTGCAACCTGCTAGCCCTACCCTTAGAGGTACTGCTCGTTCCTTACCTCTCTGTTTCCTAATGTAGTCCATGATCTTGTGTTCTCCTTCCCCTGGAGAGTTGGCATCAGACAAGATAACCTTGATGTCCTGCCATCCAGGATCTGTGTTCAGTCTGTCATAGATGTAGTAGATCAGACACTCGGCCAGTTTGAACATGAACGGTGTGCCCTGATTTTTTCAAATAGAAATGTTGCTTTACAAAAATTACAATAATAATGCTGTATTTTCTTTTTAAATCAATATGCTTCAGATGCATAATTTCCATAAGTGCTGTTTTATTATTGGTGAGAGTGACATAAATCCCGGTAACAGGAATATTTGTCGACTTGACTACGTACCGGTGTGATACAGTTACTGTCGAAGTGCTCCCCCGGTGGTTTGGGAGGAGGTACACTACAACCTTTAGCTTCAAGCTGAGCCCGCATTGCAGCCATTTCTTCCTTCTTTTCTCTGTAATCAACACCGTGTCAATAGCTAGGTTATGGCAATAGACAATCGTTTCAAACTACATGTACTAGAGATTTCTCTAGTTTATAATTACATTTTGATTTATTTTATGAAACAGCTTTTCAGGCACTGTATTTCATTTTTGTATTCATTCAATAGGTAATTAACTCTAATATGTGAATCACAACTACTTTCTGATTTTCTACTTTGTTTGTATTAATTTACGGAGGGATGAAGGAATCTCAATACCTTAGCACTTTAATGTGATGCATTTGTATGAGACAACATTAACCCTTCAATATTGAAATAAGTTTGCAGGCATATTTGATCCACACCATTTGATCAATTCATTTAAACACAATTCCAGCTAATAATTATCAATGGCAGAAAACCCGAAAAAGGTCATTACTTTTCGTTCAAAACGGATAACTTTACTTACACCGTTTCCTTAGAGGCCCTGAATCTCCTTGACCTTTGTTGGTTCATCTTGGCACGTGGTGCCTGTAAGTTTTGAATACACCATACATTTATGTCATCAATAAATTCCATCCAATGTGTTTGTAGTTGGTACAATTAACAGGCCACGATTTTCCTATTTATCATTTTCTAAATGAGTTTTACAAAATTTGTCAACTGTTTGTGAAATTTAACCAAAATTTTAGGCTATGACAAAATGCTACCAGTACCAATGACTGCAGTTAGGATTCACCATACAGCTTACATTATCAACGCTGCTGGGATGACCAGTGGTCACAGAATGGGTATTAAAACTACCACATTAGTAAGTGATTAGGTCACCCATTGTCATATCACAATAACATGATGATCCAAAATTCATGGTACTGGTAAATGAAAAATTAGTGATGCGTTCTTTCATTTTTTCTGTCTAAGCAATCATAAAATGTGAAACTGTACATATACAAAAAAAATATAGAAAGTCATTCCCATTTTATATATCTATTGTGAACACTTACCACACCATCAATGGCCATGTACAACACTTTTCTTGGCCGAACAATTGAAAAGATTCTGTCTATGAACTCAAATATCAAAACCATCATCTCGTCTTCATTTTTAGGGGCAGGCCTAAAAAGGAAAAGAAGGCAAGTCATTAATTTGTACTTTTTTGGATCATTGCAAAATAATATGAGAATGACTCATCTTCTGATCAGATAAATCCTCAGAATACCTTTTCTGAATTAAATCATGACATGAATAGGCCACACCTTATCTGTTCAATGGCTAATTTACCTGTTTCTAAGATTAAAACATGACAGATATGAAAAACATATGACATCTGACCAATGGTTAGTTTACCTGTATTCTGAATCTGTTAAGACATGACATAGATATGATGAACATATGACGTCTGACCAATGGTTGGTTTACCTGTAGTCTGAATTTGATAAGACTTGACATAGATATGACAAACATATGACGTCTGACCAATAGTTAGTTTACCTGTAGTCTAAATTTGATAAGACTTGACATAGATATGACAAACGTATGACGTCTGACCAATGGTTAGTTTACCTGTATTCTGAATGTGTTAAGACATGACATAGATATGATGAACATATGACGTCTGACCAATGGTTAGTTTACCTGTATTCTGAATCTGATAAGACATGACATAGATATGACAAATGTATGACGTCTGACCAATGGTTAGTTTACCTGTATTCTGCATCTGTTAAGAAATGAAATAGATATGACAAAAATATGACGTCTGACCAATGGTTAGTTTACCTGTATTCTGAATGTGTTAAGACATGACATAGATATGATGAACATATGACGTCTGACCAATGGTTAGTTTACCTGTAGTCTGAATTTGATAAGACTTGACATAGATATGACAAACGTATGACGTCTGACCAATAGTTAGTTTACCTGTATTCTGCATCTGTTAAGACATGAAATAGATATGACAAACATATGACGTCTGACCAATGGTTAGTTTACCTGTATTCTGCATCTGTTAAGAAATGAAATAGATATGACAAAAATATGACGTCTGACCAATGGTTAGTTTACCTGTATTCTGCATCTGTTAAGACATGACATAGATATGACAAACGTATGACGTCTGACCAATGGTTAGTTTACCTGTATTCTGAATCTGATAAGACATGACATAGATATGACAAATGTATGACGTCTGACCAATGGTTAGTTTACCTGTATTCTGAATCTGATAAGACATGACATAGATGTGACAAATGTATGACGTCTGACCAATGGTTAGTTTACCTGTATTCTGCATCTGTTAAGACATGAAATAGATATGACAAACATATGACGTCTGACCAATAGTTAGTTTACCTGTATTCTGCATCTGTTAAGACATGAAATAGATATGACAAACATATGACGTCTGACCAATAGTTAGTTTACCTGTAGTCTGAATTTGATAATACTTGACATAGATATGACAAACGTATGACGTCTGACCAATAGTTAGTTTACCTGTAGTCTAAATTTGATAAGACATGACATAGATATGACAAATGTATGACGTCTGACCAATGGTTAGTTTACCTGTATTCTGAATGTGTTAAGACATGACATAGATATGATGAACATATGACGTCTGACCAATGGTTGGTTTACCTGTAGTCTGAATTTGATAAGACTTGACATAGATATGACAAACGTATGACGTCTGACCAATAGTTAGTTTACCTGTAGTCTAAATTTGATAAGACATGACATAGATATGACAAATGTATGACGTCTGACCAATGGTTAGTTTACCTGTCTTCAGGATGACAACATGGATGGATGATCCCATTCATGTCCAGGTATAGATTGTCAAATTCATAGTCATTTGGATTTGGCTGACTAGTGTCCACTGGTACCTTCTGACCATCAACTTCTTTTGCCTGTAATTTCAAAAGGGAAACATGATCATCATCATAACAATACTGACCTCTCTTTTTCTATACTGTAAGAGTAAATATGGGGTATTCATCTGCTGCATACATTAAATTCCTATTTAAAATTAACTCCAGCCACTGTTTCTCTAATGTTCTAAAGAGGTAAAAGATAAATGTTTTGTCCGACATACATGTATGCAGTATATTTCAATTTAAAATAATTTTAAGCTTATTTTTTTTTTATTTAAATTATGTAAAGAAAATGTTTATATGCAGTATTATGCATTTTAACTGTTGAACTTGAAATAAAACTTATATAGGGGAAATGTTTTGAGGAAAAACTGCTATTTTCTTGTTGAAATAATGGAATTTTGAAGCACATTGGGGGAATTTTTAAGAACAGGGGAATTTTCTTCTGTAGGGGAAACTACCCATAAACGGTAGTAAATCAAGTCTTGATTGATCCCTGATATTCCACAAATTCTTGACTGATTTCTTAACATAATGTACTAAAAATACTACAACATGTGTCCTAATAATACTACAACATCCAGTGCTTCAACATTCCGACTTGTTTATTGTTAGTTATATTTTTCCTGAAAACGAAACTGACAGCCATCTTGCTTACACTTAATTAATATGCAACAAACAATCAAAAACATTTCTGGTACATGTAGCTTCTGACATTAGCAGCTTAGCTTTAATATTTGTATTGATCATTTACTAACTTTAACAGGATATGTCAGGTTTTTATTCCGACTATTCCTACCTTTCAACCAACTGTCCCTATCTTTCAGCTAATGTTGTATTTTAAACTGCTTTGTAATTCCTAATTTTTTATGATTATAATATTTAATACAACATTAATATTGGATCTAAAGTTTAGTGAAGATGCACAACTTTTCATTCCCGAATCCCTCTATGCATATGCAAGCCTAACAACACCCAATGGACACAGTCCAGCAGGAGGCACTGTCTGCATACACTTATAACCACCAAATTAGCAGTTATTAGCAAGCAGTGGTTCTTCTGCCAATTCCAATGGTACACTAAGCTAAGTAAACTTACACAAATCTGGCATAACATTTTAGCCAACTTAACATTTAACTTTCACAATCAGTCACCTGCTTTGAGCAATGACCCCATGTTTAACAGTACAGCATTAGAGCCCACCTAATGTTCACAGCTTTGCAGATCACATCTAAATCTGAACAGCCAATCAGCGCTGAGGTCACAAAAGAGAGAGAGAAAATGGTTTTCTCCATTTAGATTTTCAATCGTTGGCCTGACTAGCTTGAAAACTGGACCAGGGTGTCAGACATGATATTATTAGGGCATGAACTATCATAAATGTAACTTTGTTTCCTGTTGTTTAAACACAGTACTGACATTCAATAGTGTACATGACATGTGTTTGGTGCTACCCAAAAAGGATTTACATTAATTTAATAATCATTATTCCCAAAATTATTCAAACTCTTGATGAGTAAATCTATATCAACTGTCCAACATAACCCCTATGTTAAACATTTAATGTATCATTTTGATATCATATGCTGTAACCGGAAACCAAAAGACTTATAAAGGCTTAAGTCTGTTGTCCAATCCTTTTCGGAAACAATATAATATCTTGAACTGAAATTCAACCACTTTCCAATGTTTCATGAAGTCTACCAAAAATTATATATTGTATGATATGGTAGCATAGTACAGTAGAAATGGCCTGATCCTAAAAATACAGGGCATGTCTCAGATAAACATGGATAGTGGATTCAACCTGTACAACACACCTACATATAAAAATATATTTTTAAACTACATTTTGATAATATTTTGTTAAGAAGACTGATTTTTTTCCAAAAACTGTTTCCCCCAGATTTGGGACTTGTGAAAACCATGGTTGAATGTGGGCGAAGGTCATTCATTTTAACAAACTTGGTAGCCCTTCATCCCAGCCTGTTAATGGCCAAATATCATCACCCTTGGCCTTTTGCTAATTGAGAAGTCGTTTAAAGATTTTAAAATATTTGACCCCTGCGACCTTGAATATATGTAAAGGTCATTCATTTGAACAAACTTGATAGCCCTTCATCCCAGCATGCCACTTGCCAAATATCATCATCCGAGGCCTCTTGGTTATTCAGAAGAAGTTGTTTCAAGGTTTTAAACATATTTGACCCCAGTGACCTCGAATATAAGTCAAGCCATTCAGAGTTTTATTAAAATCATGTAATCGTAAATTTGACTTAACCCAAATAAATAAAATACATTTGTCAACTACGTCTAACTGGTATACATGAACATTGATATCTATAAATAAAACGTTGCTTTGAATAATTTTGAAACCTCGGCCTGGTGCCAGATGGCAAAGAGTTCTACCACAGGTGCTCGGGTTCTGGAATATATGTGATATATTATCGCACCCCACTAGAAATCGCACCCCCTTACACTTATAAATCATAAAGGTATATTTATAGGTTTATTGAATGGTGTCTACAGAAATTGAACATTTTGTTTGTTTGTTTGTTTGATTTTGTTTAACGTCCTATTAACAGCTAAGGTCATTTAAGGACGGCCTTCCCTGTGTACAAGATGCATGTGTGTAGTGTATGTGTGTGTATTTTGGGAGGCTGCGATATGTTCGTGTTTATCTCCTAATTTGCTGAGCGTTAAGCAGGAGTATAAACTACCATTTTTAAAGACTTTGGTATGTCTCGGCCAGGGGACAGAAACCAAAGCCTTCCTCACAGGGGCGAACGCTCAACAAATGGCCAAAAGTGAGGCATTGTCAAGGGAGACATTAGGAAGAAGAAAGTTATTTAGAAAGGAGAGAAGAGATAAGGTCCCAAATTTAGTCGCCTCTTACGATCATGCAATTGGGGGCAGCAGGTACANATAAGGTTGAACAGAGTTTATAGTCGTCCAACCAAGCATGCTTCTGGCAAAATATCATTACCCTGGACCTTTTGGTTATACAGAACAAGTCATTTAAAGATTTAAACATAAATTGACCACTGTGACCTTGCATATGGGTGAAGGTCATTCATTTGAAAAAAACTGGTAGTCCTTAATCCCAGCATGTTAATGGCCAAATATCATCACCCTTAGCCTTTTGCTTATTGAGAAGAGGTCGTTTATAAAGGTTTTAAACATATTTGACCCCTGTGAACTTTAATATAAGTCGAGGTCATTCGTTTGAATAAACTTGGTAGTCCTTCATCCTAGCATGCTACTGGCCAAAACAGCATCATCCTAGGACTTTAGGTTATTGTAAAGATGTTGTTTAAAGGTTTTAAACATATTTGACCATTGTGACCATGAATAATTGTAAAGGTCATTCATTTTAACAAACTTGGTAGCGCTTCATCCCAGCATGCTACAGGCCAAATATTATAACCCTCAGCCTCTTGGTTATTGTGAAAAAGTAGTTTTACCAGTTTTAAACATATTTGACCCCTGTGATCTTGAAAATGGGTGAAGGTCATTTGTTTGAACAAACCTGGTAGCTCTTTATTTCAGCATGTTATTGGCCAAATATCATCACCCTAGGCCTTTTGGTTATTCAGAAGAAGTCGTTCAAAGATTTTAACATATTTGACCTATGTGACCTCGAAAATGGGTGAATGTCATTTGTTTGAACAAACTTGGTAGCTCTTCATCCCAGCATGTCACTGGCCAAATATTTTCACCCTAGGCCTCTTGGTTCTTCAGAAGAAGTCGTTTAAAGATTTTAACATATTTGACCCCTGTGACCTTGAAAATGGATGAAGGTCATTCATTTGAACAAACTACGTAGCCATTCACCCCAGCATGTTACTGGCCAAATAACATTATACTTTCCCTCTTGGGTATTCAGAAGAAGTTGTTTAAAGGTTTTAAACATATTTGACTCCTGTGATCTTGAAAATGGGTGAAGGTCATTTGTTTGAACAAACCTGGTAGCTCTTTATTTCAGCATGTTATTGGCCAAATATCATCACCCTAGGCCTTTTGGTTATTCAGAAGAAGTCGTTCAAGGATTTTAACATATTTGACCCATGTGACCTTGAAAATGGGTGAATGTCATTTGTTTGAACAAACTTGGTAGCTCTTCATCCCAGCATGTCACTGGCAAAATATTTTCACCCTAGGCCTCTTGGTTCTTCAGAAGAAGTTGTTCAAAGATTTTAACATATTTGACCCCTGTGACCTTGAAAATGGATGAAGGTCATTCATTTGAACAAACTTGGTAGCCCTTGATTCCAGGATGCTACTGGCCAAATATCATCATCCAAGGCTGTTTGGTTATTGAGAAGAAGTTGTTTTAAAGGTTTTAAACATATTTGACCCCTGTGTTCTTGAAAATGGGTGAAGGTCATTTGTTTAAAAAAACTTGGTAGCCCTTCATCCCAGCATGTTACTGGCCAAATATCATCACCCTAGGCCTCTTTGTTCTTCAGAAGAAGTCTTTCAAAGATTTTAACATATTTGACCCCTGTGACCTTGAAAATGGATGACGGTCATTCATTTGAACAAACTTGGTATCCCTTGATTCCAGGATGCTACTGACCAAATATCATTATCCTAGGCCTTTTGGTTACTGGAAAGGAGTTGTTTAAGTAAAAAGTTGACACTGGACAGACGGACGACGGACGGACGCCGCACCATGGCATAAGTTCACTTGCCCTTGGGGCAGGTGAGCTAAAAATCCTGAAACGACTTTTGACATGTCCCATAACGAACCGGAAAAGTCCTGAAGCGACTTTCGTCTTGTTACAGAAACGTCCTGACACCATTCTACACAGAGGGGGACAGAGTTTGCGCAAATTGTTTATATTATGGATGTATTGACAAATGAGGCTAGTAGTAACTAACTACCTGTGCTTAGACGATCGTCTTTATACACATACCGAAACATACCTACAATCACCTTGACTGAAAATTTCAGGGCAAATGGAACCAGAGAGTTTCGCCCTAAATCCTGTTCGTGCTAAGGGTTGTTTAGCCCTAGGTTGTTTTGCCCTTATTTATATTTTTAATTTATACGCTAATATTATTATTATTTGAATATATCAACTAAACTTATTGATGACTTTCTACATTAGTGTTAGGTATATTTCATGTGGAGTATGTGAGAGCGGAGTCAGCTTTTCACAGCTGCTATTTGTCACACTCGCTTAAAAATAAGACAAACACTCTCTTTTTATGAAATTCTGCTTCTGCCACCAAATAGCCTCCTTTTACAGGTTGAAGATTCTGCTATGTTCGTAGGTGGTGTGCATGGTGCTGGACTGACGTCGAAAGGTTAAAAAGTTAATAAAAACTGGATAAAAACAAAGGACCTCAGAGTTTTGACACATGTCTGGCCTTGAAGGCGTCCAGTGTGTTGGCAAGGGTGATGTCTGGCGGGAGGGTGTTCCAGTCTCTCACGGTCCTGGGGAAGAAGGACATCTTCCTTGTGTCGATCCTGCTTGTGAGGAGCTGGTAGGATCTGGCATGGACAGATCTACCGAGTCTGCGAGGTAATAGCAGTCTTCCGCCTTTACGTATCGCAACTAGGCCTCGGTCTATCCTGTACAACAAAGCCAGGCGAGCGTCATGGCATCTTTTCTGGAGTGATCTCCACCCAAGTACGTCGAGCATGCTTGAGACGCTGGAGGTGTTTCTGTGGCGGCAGGTCACGTACCGTGCTGCTCTTCTGTGTATTTGCTCGATTTGATTGATGTTTACCTTGGTGTGGGGGTCCCAAACAGTACAGGCATACTCCAGCAGGGGTTTTACTAGCACCAAGTATGCCATAGATTTTATCTTGGTGGAAGAGATCTGCAGGTTCCTACACAGGAAGCCTAGCGTCCTGTAACGCCGAGGTATACTGCTGACTGGACTTCTTGCAAGGAATGGCCGTGTAGGTGGAAGTCGGTCTTAATTGGGTTTCTCTTGTTGGCGACTCTCAAGATGTTGCACTTGTCCGGGTGGAACTTCATACACCACTGACCCTCCCAACATCCAGCTTGTTTAGATCCTCCTCCAGGGTCTTACCGCTGTTTTCTGAGGTAATGGTGAGGTAGGCAATAGTGTCGTCGGCAAACAACCGGACAGTAGACGTTTGATTGTCGTGCAGGTCGTTGATATAGAATAAGAAGAGGCTTGGTCCGAGGACTGATCCCTGCGGGACACCGGAGTCGACGCCCACAGATGTAGACCTCTCTCCTTCTACGACGACTGACTGGGAACGTCCTAAGAGCTGTTCATGATCCATGTATTGATCCTGCCTTGGATGCCGTACTCATGGAGCTTATGGACGAGTAGGCTGTGATTAACCTTGTCGAAGGCCTTGGCGAAATCCATGATAAGGACATCCGTCTGTTGGCCTGCCTGGAGGTTGTTGGTAAGGTCGTTCACGAACTCGATGTTGGGTCTCACATGATCTGCCTTTCCTAAAACCATGCTGCAGGTCATAGAGAATGTTGTTTTTCTCGCCGTGGGACATGATGGTAGGGGTGATGATGTGCTCCATTACTTTGCAGCAAATAAATGTGAGGGATATCAGCCTGTAGTTCGCTGCGACGTACTTCTGTCCTTTCTTGAAGACAGGCAATACGTTGGCAGTGCGCCAGTCATCCAGAACCACACCTGTTGCAAGTGACTTTGTGAAGAGAAGATTGAGTAAATTGATTTTAATATTAAATATGGAAGACTAAGAAGACTTTATTTAAATTGTGACTTAAAACTACTAAAATTGAAAGAAAATACCAAAAATGTTTCGCCCTAATATTTTTGTTTTAGGGCCAAACAACCTAAGGCGAACGGGATTTCGGGCGAAACAACCCGGAACCATGAGAGAGCGCAAAACCTCTCTACTCTCACAAACAAACAAATCTTCATAGTTCATTGTATATTATCTCCAGAATTATGTTCGTAATGCAATGATGGTGATACTGTTCGAGATTTTCAGTGGATTTTTTTTACCTTCTGTTCGATACAATTCACAATGATGGATGGATATTTCCTGCTCAGCCATCGGAAGAATGCTGGAACTCCCATGGCTGAGGAATGGTGATGAAGATGTTTTCTTCTCCGTTACAGCTCAACATTCACCAACACGCCGCCGGCAACCTTCACCTTTGTCTAATCTGTTATCACTGCTTCGATTGGTCTTTTAAAATAAACTAACCAATCAAAACATGTAATACAATTATACAAAAAAATACATTTCGGAACGTTTCTAGCTATATAGTAGTTTGCTACTAAGGAACAAAAGGTTTCCCGAAAGGTTAAATTACAATATGGCCGACGAAATACAACAGAAACTTTGCAGTTCGGCAAAAATAGACCGAGATCGTGGATATCAAGATTTACTCAGACATATTCACACATTGGAAGAAGAGGGTCTATGTGATCTTGAGCAAAAGTTCATCCATTTGTTGGCTGACAGTACTGCACCATGGGAAGCAAAGCACGGAGCCCTCATGGGATCCAAGGCGCTGCTGCTGAGTGGAAATACAACAGACGATTTTGTAGTTGACATGAGAGCTAAAGCAATCGACCTTCTGGACGACAGGGAATTTAGAATCAGAATTGCTGCGGGTATGATCATACTTGTTATTTCATAAATGTAAAAAAAAAAAAAAAAAAAAAAAACATTTTATGAAGATGACAAATTTGGCATGTCGCCAAATGTCATGTTTTTTAATCCATTTAAAAAAATGTATGCTACATCTATATATAAATTAGTTGCAGTTTGTGTGCAGAACATAATTCACCTTACAGTGGCTGCATGGAATTCTGAATTAATGCTTTATTTCTTCATAAAAATGCGTTCAAACCTTTCATTTACATACTCTGCTAAATCTACATAGAAATTTTCTTTAACAAAGTTGCTAAAATACCATGTATTTCGCAATTAAGAGGTACCTTTAGCAAACACCAATGATAATGTGATGAATGAACATTTTGTCTCTTCATCTTCTTCCTGAAACGAGTAAGAAAATCAGAAGGTTTAAATCTGAAAGTTATAACTATGTACATCAGGTTAATGGCTGCCTAGACTAGAGTTGATGTGCCTTTGGCCAGGGGATGTTACTCTGGGCTTGAAGTTTTCCAATATTGTTGCCTTCACTACTTGTTTGGTAAATTGTTCCATTTCCTAATGATATACAAAATGCAGATCTAGTTTTATGTACCAATAATGGTCAATTAGAAGAAATTACAATCAATTACCTTAGCTATAATTATTAATTCAGCTGGATGCCAATGACTGGTAGATTTTATGTCAGTGGTTATTGAAATGTCTAGGTCAAGCTAGTAGATTTTTTTCTAAATCTGGGCTTGTAAGTGATTGGCAATTGGTTTAAAATCATCATCAATGAATAATTGGTTTGTAATGGGAATTAGAAAACTGATTAATGATCAATTGCAAAATTGGTTTATAATTCAATGTAACACTATTGTCACATCAATAGACAATGTTTACTACCTTGTATACATTAGGTTTCCCTCTTTTATGATGAGATGACTAGAGCCAACAACAGTCATGCAGTTTTGTTTTTCTTTCAACTTTACCATCAATCAAATAATATAAAACTTTTTACTTTTAGTGCATAATGTACATTTCATACATTTAGCATGTATGGGTTCAGCAATGGACCAATTATTGATTGTGGAATTTATAATCAATAATTAGAATCAGAAAGGGCAAACCACTCAATTTTCAGTTGTACTCTATCCTAAAATGAAAATGTACACCCCTGTTATTAATACATGATAGCAGATTATCAATGAGCTTTTTACCACCTAGTATCAGTCAGTTTTGAAAAATTATGATTTTTAATCCATACCTACCAATCAAGCAACAGATATAATTTCCTAGCTATGTTAGTAACTAGTGACTAGATATTGAACCAGTGTAGTTATTGTTATATGAGGTGTCATTTATGAAGAATCAATTAATTTTAAAACAATTGATAACCACAAGATTGAGCTCAGCTGGCGACACCAATGTTTTATTAGGTGGCTCCATTGTTGTAACAACCAACTAAATTGACATTATTTATGATTCGAAAAACATGCCTATGCATTTTTTTGTTTCAAATAAAAAGAAAGAGAGCTGAGAACAGCTATAATTACGATGCATCAGGTGTCTAGCATTTTCATACTCATTTGTCATCAGTGTATGATCAGAGTTAGTCACATATCCTTAAATGCAAACAGAGTAGAACAACCACGTCACTAGCTCATGTAACAGATAAAAGCTGAACGATCTCCACCCTATCATCTTCACTCTATACGCTATGATACCAAAAAGAAACCTGTTCTTTGTGCTACGGTATAATCATCTACTGGTATATTCTGTTAATATTACAAATGTTACTTAACCTAATACAGCTGTACAGAAACTGTTTACTAAATAAACATTTTGTTCTTTTATCAAAACACAGGTGAAGTCCTAGGAGCTTTGTGTAAGAAAGTTGGCCCTGAAATCTATAACAGGTCCAAAACAGTCATACTTGAAAAAATTCATGTGAACCTGGAACGAGATCCAATGATGGATGTTGATAAGAATGAGCAGGAGGAGGCGAGCAAATTGATGGAAAAACTCAGCAGTTCACCTGGGAGGGTAAGAAATATCACATCTATCAGGTTTATATCCTGTGCACATATGCTATTGAAATACCCTTTATGACCTACTGTACACGTCAGGGATTGAAAAAAGAATTTACCTGCTTTTTGCATGTATGATGCAACTAATGTGGGAACCCCATGCAGGATTGAAGATTTGCATTAGTGCCCTATACTTGGAAACAAAAATAGCGACCAAAATGAATTTGCTGTACCAATTGCAACTTTTGGGACTTTATTTTTTTTTCTCTTCTTCTTTTAAAAAACCTTTTTTTGTTTGTGTTGCTTGGCCTCACCCAAGTGAGAAAGTCAACAGGCCAGGACTTATGGTAGTTTTTATTCCTTGACTTATGATTTGCATTTAGGGTATTTATGACTGAGTGGAATAATTGCACTACATTTCCTGTTGTCAGTATAATGTGACTTAGTGGAATACTTGCACTACGTTACCTGTTGTCAGTAAAATGTGACTGAGTGGAATACTTGCACTACGTTACCTGTTGTCAGTATAATGTGACTGAGTGGAATACCTGCACTACGTTACCTGTTGTCAGTAAAATGTGACTGAGTGGAATACTTGTACTACGTTACCTGTTATCAGTATAATGTGTCTGAGTTGAATACTTGTACTACGTTACCTGTTATCAGTATAATGTGACTGAGTGGAATACTTGTACTATGTTACCTGTTGTCAGTATAATGTGACTGAGTGGAATACTTGTACTATGTTACCTGTTGTCAGTATAATGTGACTGAGTGGAATACTTGTACTACGTTACCTGTTGTCAGTATAATGTGACTGAGTGGAATACTTGTACTATGTTACCTGTTGTCAGTATAATGTGACTGAGTGGAATACTTGTACTGCGTTACCTGTTGTCAGTATAATGTGTAAGGTTGTAAGGCCAGCATATTGAAAACTATTAGTATGTAAGATATAAGGTTGTAAGGCCAGCAGATTGAAGGCCTTACAACCTCACACCTTACATACTAATAGCCTTCAATCTGATGGCCTTACAACCTTATATCTCAAATACTAATAGCCTTCAATCTGTTGGCCTTACAACCTTATATCTCAAATACTAATAGCCTTCAATCCGCTGGCCTTACAACCTTATATCTTACTTACTAATAGCCTTCAATCTGCTGGCCTTTCAACCCCACACCTTACATACTAATAGCCAGCAGATTGAAGGCTATTAGTATGCAAGATATAAGGTTGTAAGGCCAGCAGATTGAAGGCTATTAGTATGTAAGGTGTGAGGTTGTAAGGCCAGCAGATTGAAGGCTATTAGTATGTAAGATGTTACTGATGTTGCTTTGTTATCAGCATGTATACATTCTCATGAAAGTATCCTATATTTTTACTGTCTATATCATATACCAATTCACAAAGTATTGATAGCTGGTGATGGAAAACTGATCAAACAGTTCACACTGATTGACAATCTGTAAACATATACATTGTGATGTCATCAATTTTGACATTTGTAACAACTTTGCATGATGATGAATACACTTGTGAGTGAAGTTGATGAGTTCATCATTAACCCACACATACTGTAAGCACTACCATGATTTATAATGAGCATGTATATTACTTTTTATTTTCCTTCAGAGAGGCAGTGCTGATGCTGAACAAATCTTTCATGACACAGCTGGTTGGAAAAATTTAGAAACATCTATGAAGTGAGTATCCTAGCTACCCTCTGTGGAGTACATGCTATGGAAATCTCACCAGGCACCAAAAGCCTTTGAGCCTTTGTGATGGCACAGCATTTGCTTTGCATTATAATGCATGAGGTTTAAGGTCATGCCATGTTCTGTCCATCAGATATTATAAACTCACCATAACATGTTCTGTCCATCAGATGCTATAAACTCACCATAACATATTCTGTCCATCAAATGCTATAAACTTACCATAACATGTTCTGTCCATCAGATGCTATAAACTCACCATAACATGTTCTGTCCATCAGATGTTATAAACTCACCATAACATGTTCTGTCCATCAGATGCTATAAACTTACCATAACATGTTCTGTTCATCAGATGCTATAAACTCACCATAACATGTTCGGTCCATCAGATGCTATAAACTCACCATAACATGTTCTCTCCATCAGATGCCTTCAGTCTGTGGTGGACGGCTGCGGTCACCTGTTTGCTGAGTTTGTTGACCAGGAGTTACTCGATTTGATATTCCGTGCTCTAAAGCATACCAACAGATTTGTGCGAGAGACCGGGTTCTATGTTTGTGCCTCAATAGTGGCAACTGGGATGTCAGAGGAAGGTAAGGATATTTGTTTTATTGTTAGAGGAAGATAAGAGTATGTGTTTTATTGTCTGAGGAAGATAAGGGTATGTGTTTTATTGTCAGAGGAGGGTAAGGGATTGTTTTATATTTACATAGAGCCAAAACAAATGGTTAAAGCTTGTCAGGTATTATCTCCAAGGTAAAGGATTGGACTCCATAAATCAGAAAGAAACAGAATTTTACCCACTGTAGGGATGAGACAGAATAATCTCAATATTCTTAAATGTCCAGACAGAGGCTGAGGGGCTGGACACATAAAGATAACACCATAATGGGTTGAGATTTTCTGTTTCAATACCAAAGTGGGGAATGACTATTTTTTTCAAAATATTAGAAAGGAATTTATTTCGGTATTATATAATGCTCTCTACCTCAAGCAACCAGTCATAGTGTGATGTTATCTGTTTGTATAAGTGATATCATTTCATGTTACAATGTTTGGTGCTGCTTGTTGACAGGGGTTTGAATAATCTTCCCTAAGCCGAATGTGTGGAAAAATCTGTCAATATTGGGAGAATATTTGACCTTGTTTGTTTTGACACTAGGATAAACAAATAAGTTCAGAATATTTTATGATTTGTGTTGTTAAGGTGCGGAACCTGTGATGTTGGAGAACAACCCGCTGTACCAGTACGGACAACAGTTTGCCGAGTACCTGGCCCTCGGACTGGCCGACAACTGGAGTCAGGTAAACGTCGAGGAGGGAACATCATCCTTCACACATTTGTACACCGAAAGGATCTGATGAAAGTCCGCTGTTACTTAATACATGTGCCACTATGTCCTTAATTTTGTAATTAGAGCAATAACTGATATGTTTCCGTTCTCTTAATTTGTCTGAATGAATACTTGATGTCAGGATATTATGGATTTTTTCTGCACCAATAATACCAAAACCCGCAAAAAGTGAGTATCTTATATGTGCATTTTTACAGGTTCGCCTGGCTGCATCGACAACAACGAGACGGTTCTTACTAAGTCTTCCATCAGAAGAGAGTAGAGAACACTTTTTCCCTGCTCTGCTACCAAAGATGTGTCTAAACAGGTGTGTGTTACTGGTTCCTCAATCTAGTGATCCAGAATAACGATAAGACTGCTTCAAACACAAATTCTGGAGATTTCTACAACTCTAAGATAACTCATTGACTTTGTATTTCTTGATATTTGAATCTGCTTTGAAAGGATTAAGTAATAACTTATTTGTGTTTCATTAAAGTATCACTAGGGTTTGCACATTTTTTTTAAATTTCAAACTAAAAAGTTGAAGATAATTAATTTGAAGTGATATTTATGATGGTTATCAGCCGGGTAATACATACCAATTCACCAGGAAGAACAAAATTTCATTAGAAGAATAGTTTGTTTAAACAATTGACAAGGGTTAAGTCTAACATTGAGTTCTGCAAATATAGAATCAAAAAAGAATGTTGCTATATAATCAATGTATTACTCTAAGGGTTAGTTTTTTTTATTGATCTTTCAATGATGTCGTTATTTTCTCATATTGTTTAGAAAAACATTTTGTTATTAGCTCACCTGGTACAAAGAGTGTCTGAGAGCTTATGCCACAACGTAATCTGTAATCTATCTTCTTTAAACATTTTCGGCTAAATAACTAAAAAAAAACATTATTTTTTTTGTTCAAATTGTTTTAAACTTAAATTTAGGGTCCTAATATTTGGCATATAGCTTGTTGGGATAGAGGACCATCAACTTATTTGGAAAAAACATTTTGGGTTCCTTTACACAAAAACATGATGTCTGATAGTATTAATGTAACTCTATGTTTCTTTGTCTGATAGTATAAATGTAACTCTATGTTTCTCTCGTCAGATACTATGTGGCTGAAGGAGTGCGCATTTACTCACAGGACACTTGGAAACTAGTGACAAAGACAGACGGCAAACGCTACGTGGAAAAGTACATTAATCAAGTGGTAGGTTTCAGTGGAATATACCTCCTTTTCAGGTTTTGGCAGTTCTGGCATCAACTGCAGTAGAAATGGGGTTTTTGATATTCTGAAAAAATAGTTTTTAAGTTTTATTTTGATACACAATTACCTTTGATATTGCATGATATAGACTCCAAATCAGTTCCTGAGAAATTCAGATAGATTTCATTAACCTAGTTTAACTAAGTTTAATCTGAACGCAGGCATATCTGGCTCTATATTCAGATCATAGTCCATATTACGATTATTCATTCAAATATGATATTAGTCTTCTTCTTTTTTTTATGAATGGTTTTTCAAGTGTGACATTAACAAGCCTGTTGATTTTCTTGCTGCTCCTAGGTGACAGAGACTGAAATGCTATGATAATTCTGGTAGTGTAAGAGATATGTGGTATGTCCATTGTAGGTGGATTATTATGTGGATGCAACAGGGGCAGATAACCACGCTGTGAGAGAAGCAGCATGTGCCTGTATTGCGGAGCTCGGAGCTAAAGTAAGTAAGCCTTTGAGCATAGTCCAAGGAGGTCTGAGTAGTCAGACAGGATAACGAAAAATATTTATTGAAAAATGGAGTGTCATAAAGTACTTCAGTCTTGAATGTTAACAAATTTCAGGGTTTATGTTTTTGTTTTGTTTCTTTCTTTCTTGTTAAATCATTATTCAGGAACAAATTACCAATAAGTTGTTGCACTAGGTTTTGATGTTCCATCAGATGACTTTTTAAAAAAAATTGACAACTGATTACTTGTGTAACAGTAATAACCTTCAAACAGCTCACTGCTTCTACATATGTAGTTTTGTTTATGGAAACTATTCTGCTGACAGAGAATAAGAATCAGGTATATTCTTTGATTTCTTTTTTGATATAAGTAGACTAATGATAACCCATTGTTAGATTGACAGAGACCAGGTGCGGCCCTTCGTGCCTCGACTCCTTGAGACCCTCATCATATGTTTCAACGACGAGAGCTGGCCTGTCAGAGATGGTAAAACCTTGTGTACCATACCATAATCAGTTATATTGGTCCACTGAGTATTTGTCAGTTTTGTCTCATCAGTTCAACTTTGGACGATACCTATCAAAGTTCAGTTGATTATCTTGAATTTGTCAATTTTCAGTTTAATAATGTAGTAGTTATAAGTATTTAACTTATAAGTGAGTTTTTCCCAATCTGAATTGTTGGCTGTCATAATTTTACTACCAGGTGTACACAGGTTCATATAGCACATCCAGTGAAAAGTTTAAAGTTTGATGTTTCCATGACATCAACATTTCACTGGTTGTGTTATATATGATCAAATAATCTATCTATAATAACCAGAAAATGTTTCAAAATATTACCACGAGGTATGTCTGTATCATTACTACACTGTATCAGGGTTGTTGAATTATTATACTTTAAATTTCCTTTTACTTTTAGCTGCTTGTGTGGCTAGTGGAAACTTCATTGTCTGTTTCCCAGAAGAATCCAGGTAAACAATTCTGATGATCTGATGATCGATTCACGCTCATATATTACAAACATTCAGAAACCATTCTCGGATAATACTCATCTGTACATGTATTACAATTTTAAGTAAACAGTAACTATCTTTATATGTTATTTTTCACTAATTACTTGGTACCAGTTTAATTGAGACCCAGATGTCTTTCGATTTGACAGATCTATTATGTAAAAAGCACCCAGTGTGATAACATTCCTGATTCCTGTAAAGAATTTGAATGAATTTGAAAATATATATATCTTGCTATTGTAATGGAGAAACAAAACAAAAAATATTTTGCTTATTTTTCAGGAGTTCTTTGCCTGCCCTCTATCCCTTGTTCTTCAACAATTTACAAGACAACATTGCATCTGTCCGCCAGGGTGCTGCCTTGGCACTGGCCAACCTTGTACAGGCCTACGGTACGTGTTCTCAGACTTGTAATAAGCTTGGTTCAGTCTACAGCTCCACACTACCAGTGTATAGTACTGTAATGGACTCAAACATTGGAAGATAACATCAAGATTTAAATAGGCACATTTCTGTTCGACCATACTACCCATTTGGTTAAGTACAGTCTCTGATGATCTATTTTCTTAATGTTTTTAATCCCTGGTATGAAGTGATCAGGACCTTACAGCCGGAGGTGTTGTTCTTACATACCATGTGTGTGCATGTCTTATAGAGGAAAAGCTACTTTTTTGGCCTGATGTGTTGTTTACTTTGGGTACAAAATGGTAGATGAATGTCACTGCCTCCTTTTTAAGATGTACAAATTGTGATTTTGAATATTGGTTTATTTGGCAGGCCAAGAGAGTCTGGACTTTGTGATGGGTAAGATTAAGGAGGGTCTAGAGGGTCTTGAGAAACAGCCAGCCTCCAAGGAAAAGTACAGTGACATGGATACAGGGCCTGCCACATATGGGGTGGTCAAACGTCGCCATGACAATGACCTTGACCTTCACACAGACAAACAGGTAAAAATATTCTTCCAAATTTGGAAAGTTGCAAATGCTTCTAGTTACCCGGCCCCTATTACTACGTTACCTTCCTGAAGGTCGAAACTTCCACTACAATTCTTTCTGATTTGTGTTTGAAAAAAATATATAAAAAAATCAGACATACATGTGTGGAACCTGAAAATAGATAATTAGTTTGATGTACTGTTTATGTGTTTACTGTTTATATAAACAGATGTACTCCTGTGGATCCCTGGCACCTAAGATGGGCAGGTCCAGAGGGGGCGGTTGTATGGACCACAAGTTCAGAAAGCCGACAGAACCTTGGGAACTTGCTGATGGGTATGCTCAAAGTAGTTCTCCAATAAATGTTATATGTCTGATTTCACTCTTACTTTGAAGACTCAATCACAGTACGGTAAAATGGGAACTTAGATATCATTTCTCAACATGTAGGTGCTTTGCCTGTTTATATGTGACGTCTCAACATCTACTTATTCTATCGATGGATGAAATAGAGAAGTCACATGTGTGGTAACAATTTCCTTTACAATGTTATGATTGGTGTGAGTTGATATCATATCATTGTATTAGCATCATTACTACTGATGAAGTCAGTGTCATTTTAAAACACAAATTCAGCCTGTTCTTGATGTTTGTGATGTGACAGAGGTATTTTTCATTCAGGTGTATTCATTTACTTGCTGAGCTGTCTAATCACCACGACCTTGCAGTCCCTGTCAGTCAGATGTTACCAGATATGGCTAAATCATCATCTTACCAGCATTACACCCAACACATTGTTTATTGTGAAACTATATGTAAACAGGTGTGTAGTTTTGCTTTCAAATTGTTTCACGAGAAGTAACTTCTGTAAAGACATTCAATTATTGAGCTCTCAGCAAAGAGGCTCACCTTCTAAATGTATGCTGAAATAATTATTGTACATGTATCATCACTGATTGTAAAAATTATTGTACATGTATCATCACTAATTGCAAATAATTATTGTACATGTATCATCACTGATTGTAAATAATTATTGTACATGTATCATCACTGATTGTAAATAATTACTGTACATGTATCATCACTGATTGTAAATAATTACTGTACATGTATCATCACTGATTGTAAATAATTATTGTACATGTGTCATCACTAATTTTAAATTTAGCATGATTCCAACACTACATATTCTCTTTCTTCCTTTTATTCAGCTGCCGAACATTGCCAAAGGAATTGGAAAGAGGCATTTCAAAATGCATTTAGAAATGTTTCTGGATACAATATTTTACAGTATGGTAAGTCAACACTGAAATTCATCATTTATTAGCTCACCTGGTCCAAAGGACCATAGTGAGCTTATGCTGTGGCACAGCGTCCGTAACCAGCGTCCGTTGTCAACTTTTTCTTTAAACCTATCTCCTCCTAACCACCAAAGAGGATTTCCACCAAATTTGGACTGAAGCATCAGTAGGGACGGGCAATCATTTCTTAAATAAATGAGGTTTGTTCGACCCCTGGGGCCAGGGGGGCGGGGCCCTGAAGGGGAACTTAGCTAAAATTTTGTTTTAAAACACATCTCCTAAAAGCCAGAGAAGATTTCAACCAATTTTGCTCTGAAACTTCATTGGGGGAGGGCAATCATTTCCTAAATAAATGAGGCTGGTTCGACCCCTGGGGCTAGGAAGGCCGGGCCCCAAAGTGGAAAATTATCTAATATTTTGCTTTAAGAGGCTAATACCCCCTAATTGCATGAGTGGATTGTACAAAATTTGATTAAAAACATTATTGAGGAAGAACAAACATTTCTTAATTGAATGAGGTTGATTTCACCTCTGCAGTCCTAAGGTAGCAGTGTACTGTAGCCATGGGTGATTTTTTGTACAATGAATAACCCCTGTAATATTACATGTATCAAAAGTTAAAAAAAAATTGGCATATACATGATGAATTGGACTATGTGGGCTTCACATTTAAAAAAAAAAAAAATCGAATTTGGCTTGAGACTACATTTTTGGCCATTTACGAATCTGTATCTACACAACAAAAGCTAGCTTTTCATGTAGTCTATCTTTGTACTCAGGACATGTGTAAATATTGTGAAAAATCTAGTTTGACGACCTATGCTAAAACGTGAGTATCTGTTACCGAGTAGGGGATATTTAATTTAAGACAGGTTTTAAGAAGAACAAATACTACTTGCGGGGGTCAAATTCTGGGTTAAAAATCTTGGTTTTTTGCATTTTTTTGCATTTTTTGATGTGGTAACCATGGTTTTCACAAGTCACAAATCTGGGGAAATCACTTTTTGAAAAAATATTCATTCTTCTAAAAAAAACGTATTCAAATGTAGTTTATAAATATATATATATATATATATGTAGGTGTGTTGTGCAGGATGAATCCGATATCCATGTTTTATCTGAGACATGCCCTTTATTTTAAGGGTCAAGCCATTTCTACTGTATTCTGCTACCTAAGAAATAGTACAGCTAGATTATCATATTCTATGGTGTAGTTTTCATAAATTGTTAAAAATTGGTTTCTAGGTTTATAAAAGCTTATACCTGTAGTTGAATGAAAATTAAAGTATTGTCTAATTACACCCTGTAATATGACATATTACTTATTTCAAAATCTGTTAACATGGCAACTCAATGGAGGCCCCTGATGAGTTGAAAGTCAGATATTGTGGTCCCAGTTGGGTTAGAACATAGATCTTGTCTGGTTTTGAGGAAATTTCATATAAAGATGTACTAATGCATTCAGTTGTAATGACTTAAATATAAAACCAGGTGAGCGATACAGGTTCAATGGACCTCTTGTTGACTTTGTATGCATGTGTAAAAGAATTCGTCATCATTTATATGATTTGTGTGAAGCTCAGCTTACTGGTAGATACTAATGGTTTGTTGTACATCTATCATCAGTCTGTCTCCATTTTGAAAAAAGAAATATATTGTTTATTATGTCTCCCCGTCAAATGAAAAGACATATTATAGTAGACATATTGTATTAGCATTGGGTTCGTTCTTATGATTCTTCTTCAGATCATTTAGTATTCATACTGTATCTGTTTTTTATGAGTTTCTAAGTGTGAATTCTTATGGAAAAGAGAAGCATGTCACATTATATAGCAGAAGTCATGTGGTACACAAATAAGTCATATGGTACACAAGTCATGTGGTACACAAACAAGTCATGTGGTACTCAAATAAGTCATGTGGTACACAAACAAGTCACAAATAAGTCATATGGTACACAAGTCAGGTGGTACACAAGTCGCAGGAAACGTCACCAGATTTTTAGCCCACAATCATCAGATGGTTGGCTGTGTAAATCAGTTATCATCATTGCATTGCATTTTCCTTCCTGATCCATCTGATATTGGAGCATGCACATCTAAGGACAAAGGGGGTCCTGCATATCTGGTTCATCATTAACACTTTTGTATTTTCTGAAAGGATCTTGATGAAACTATGAGCCCTCAGTCCCTTGTTGTGCTTGCCTCAAAGATGGAGGAATGGAGAGCCAGGCCATCTTGGATTAATTTCATATGAATAAATTTCATGTACTGTTTACCCTTTGTCCCTTGTTGTAAATACTCCAATTTGGCCCGGGTATATGGTCTTGTTTTTTTCTGCATAAAGTGGAAAATTGGTCATATTGAGGTTGTGAAAAGAATAATTGGTATTTCCTCTGATGACTTTCAGGACAACATTCATATGAGAATTATAAACAATTAAAATTTTGTGATTTTTTTTTTTGCAGACCTGTGATAACTCATTGACATCAAGTGCGGCTAGTCAATGCCTGAATCAGCTGAGTGCTTTCTTGGGGCCAAACATTCTCAAAGGACGCGTTGAGCAATACAACCCAAGGTAAATATAATACAACCCAAGGTAAATATAATACAACCCAAGGTAAATATAATACAACCCAAAGTAAAAAAAAAAATACAACTCCCGATAAAACAGCACAACCTAAAGTAGACAATACAGCACAAGGTAAAGATAATACAACCCAAAGTATTTTTTTTATATATAACCCAAGATAAAACAGCACAACCTAAAGTAGACAATACAGTCCAAGGTAAAAATAATACAACCCAAAGTAAAAACACTACAATCCAATGGGAAAAAATCCAACACAAGTTGAATATAACGCATTAGAATTAATACAATCCAAAGTGAAAATAACACAAGCTAAGGAAAAAACAATAAAACACAAGGTAAAAATAATACAACCCCAGGTAAAAATAATACAACTTTGGTAAAATAATAGATTGTTACATAAGGTTAAAAAATACAAATACAAAACCAAATAAAAAAAATGTGTTTTTTTTAAATCAGCAGTTTCAGATTTACCCTGTACGCAGAAAGAGATTATTAAGGCTTAAAGTTAATGTGAAAACAAGTTGACAGGGGGCTTACGCTTACTGTTACCTCTGCTGGACAAGGGGCTTAGTCTTACTGTTAACTATGTTTGCCAGGAGGCTTAGTCTTACTGTTGATTATGTTAGACAGGGGCCTTGGTCTTACTTTTAATAATTTTTGACAGAGGGCTTAGTTTTACTGTTAAATTTGTTTGACGGGAGGCTTAGTTTTATTGTTAATTATTTTTGACTGGAGGCTTAGTCTTACTGTAAATTATTTTAGAAAAGAGGCTTTTAGTCTTACTGTTACCGCTGCTGGACAAGGGGCTTAGTCTTACTGTTAAGTATGTTTGACTGGAGGCTTAGTCTTACTGTTAATTATGTTTGACAGAGGGCTTAGTCTTACTGTTAAATTTGTTTGACTGGAGGCTTAGTCTTACTGTTAATTATGTGTGACTGGAGGATTAGTCTTACTGTTAATTATGTTTGACAGAGGGCTTAGTCTTACTGTTAATTATGTGTGACTGGAGGCTTAGTCTTACTGTTACCGCTGCTGGACAAGGGGCTTAGTCTTATTGTTAAGTATGTTTGACTGGAGGCTTAGTCTTGCTGTTAATTATGTTAAACTGGAGGCTTAGTCTTACTGTTAATTGTGTTAAACTGGAGGCTTAGTCTTACTGTTACCGCTGCTGGACAAGGGGCTTAGTCTTACTGTTAAATTTGTTTGACTGGAGGCTTAGTCTTGCTGTTAATTATGTTAAACTGGAGGCCTAGTCTTGCTGTTGATTATGTTTGACAGAGGGCTTAGTCTTACTGTTAAATTATTTTAGACTGGAGGCTTAGTTTTACTGTTAATTATGTTTGACTGGAGGATTAGTCTTACTGTTAATTATGTTAGACTGGAGGCTTAGTCTAACTGTCAATTATGTTTGACTGGAAGCTTAGTCTTACTGTTAAGTATGTTAGACAGGGGGCTTTGTCTTACTGTTAATTATGTTTGACTGGAGGCTTAGTCTTACTGTCAATTATGTTTGACAGAGGGCTTTGTCTAACTGTTGATTTTTCATGTTTGACAGGGGAGCTAAGTTAGTCTTGCTGTCAGGTATGTTTTACAGTGAGCTTAGTCTTACTGTTGATCATGTTTGACATGGGAGCTTAAGCTTACTTTTAACTATGTGACAGGGTGCTTGGGCTTATGTTTAACAGGAGGTTTATTCTTTTTTTTTACAAGACAAGACAAAACATATATGACATTGTTCATAAGTACATGATTATTCATACATATTAAACCAAGGTGTCTATAAAGTTTTAAATAGTTTTGTAAACCTTTTTTTTTTTACACTCCTCATCAACATCATTCATCAACATAATCATCATCTGTCATCATCATCAGCACAACCATCATCATCATCACAACCACCATCATCATCACAACCACCATCATCCTGACATTATTCTTAACATCATCATCTTCATCATCATAATCATCAGACATCAGACATCATCATCATCATCATCATTATCATCATCATAATCATCATCATCATCATCATCATCATCATCATACATCATCATCATCCATCAGACATCATCATCATCCATCAAACATCATCATCATCATCATAAGACATCATCATCATCATCATCATCATCATCATCATCCATCAGCATCATCATCAGACATCAGCATCAGACATCAGACATCATCATCATCATCATCATCATCATCATCATCCATCAGCATCATCCATCAGCATCAGACATCAGACATCATCATCATCATCATCATCATCAGACATCATCATCATCATCATATAAGATATTATTCCTAACATTATTATCATAATCATCTGACATCATCATCACAATCACCATCATCATCATCTTACATCACTATCATCTTACATCATCATCATCATCCATCAGACATCATCATCATCATCAGACATCATCATCATCATCATATAAGATATTATTCCTAACATTATTATCATAATCATCTGACATCATCATCACAATCACCATCATCATCATCTTACATCACTATCATCTTACATCATCATCATCATCCATCAGACATCATCATCATCATCAGACATCATCATCATCATCATATAAGATATTATTCCTAACATTATTATCATAATCATCTGACATCATCATCACAATCACCATCATCCTGACATTTTTCTAAACATCAACATCATCATCATCATCATCATCATCATCATCATCATCATCATCATCCATCAGACATCATCATCATCATCATCATCATCATCATCATCATCCATCAGACATCATCATCATCATCATAAGACATCATCATCATCATCATCATCATCATCATCATCCATCAACATCAGACATCATCATCATCATCATCATCATCAGACATCATCATCATCATCATATAAGATATTATTCCTAACATTATTATCATAATCATCTGACATCATCATCACAATCACCATCATCCTGACATTTTTCTAAACATCAACATCATCATCATCATCATCATCATCATCATCATCATCATCATCATCCATCAGACATCATCATCATCATCATCATCATCATCATCATCATCCATCAGACATCATCATCATCATCATAAGACATCATCATCATCATCATCATCATCATCATCATCCATCAGCATCAGACATCATCATCATCATCATCATCATCAGACATCATCATCATCATCATATAAGATATTATTCCTAACATTATTATCATAATCATCTGACATCATCATCACAATCACCATCATCCTGACATTTTTCTAAACATCATCATCATCATCATCATCATCATCACTATCATCTTACATTGTCATCATCATCATCATCCTGACATAATTCTTAACATCATCATCCCCATCATCATCTTCCTCATTCTCATATAAGATAGTATTCTTAATATTCTCATCTGACATCATATGACATCATCATCACCATCATCATCAGCCATCATTGACCTATGTCATCCTTTTCTTAATATTTACTCAGTTTGACAGAGGTTCAGAATTACTGTGAACTCTGTTTGACAACTGGCTTCATCACCTTTACAGAACGACATATTATTGAAAAGGGTTTCATTTATTTAAATTACAAAAAGTATTTCTCAATTAAATTTACTTTTTTATATTTGATCCAAATTTTTGGTAATTTTTTCCATTTTAGATGGTGATTATTTTGAGATTTTTTTTGAATTTAATGAATTGTGTATTTGTTACAGATATTTGGAGCATTTGAATGCTAATCAGTGCATAGCGGCATTATAGCAGAGGTATGTGGTGGTAATACTTAGAGCATTGCTTATAATGTGATGATAAAAACTGCTGATTTAGTGATGACATGCAGCAATCCTTGCATTGTAATGGTAGGTAGCAATGCTGATATTGTGATATTAGGCAGCATTGCTGATATTGTTATTATATGCAGCAATACTGATATTGTGATGATAGACAGCAATGCTAATATTGTAATGATAGGCGGCAATGCTGATATTGTAATGATAGGCAGCAATGCTGATATTGTAATGATAGGAAGTAATGCTTATATTGTAATGATAGGCAGCAATGCTGATATTGTAATGATAGGAAGTAATGCTTATATTGTAATGATAGACAGCAATGCTGATGCAATGAAAATAGGCAGCACTTCTGATACTGTGATGATAGGAAGCAATGCTGATATTGTTATTATATGCAGCAATGCTGATTTTGTGATGACAGGCAGCAATCCTTTTATTGTAATGGTAGGCAGCAATGCTGATATTGTAATAAGACAGCAATGCTGATATTGTGATATTTGGCAGCAATGCTGATATTGTTATTATATGCAGCAATGCTGATATTGTAATGATAAGCAGCAATGCTGATATTGTAATGATAGGAAGCAATGCTGATATTGTAATGATAGGAAGCAATGCTGATATGGAATAAGACAGCAATGCTGATATTGTAATGATAGGAAGCAATGCTGATATTGTAATGATAGGAAGCAATGCTGATATTGTAATGATAGACAGCAATGCACATACAATGAAAATAGGCAGCACTTCTGATACTGTGATGATAGGAAGCAATACTGATATTGTAATGATAGGAAGCAATGCTGATATTGTAATGATAGGAAGCAATGCTGATATTGTGATGATAGACAGCAATGCTGATATTGTAATAAGACAGCAATGCTTATATTGTAATAATAGAAAGCAATACTGTTATTGTAATGATAGGTAGTAATGCTGATATTGTAATGATAGGCAGTAATGCTGATACAATGAAAATAGGCAGCAATGCTGATACTGTGACGATAGGCAGTATTGCTGATATTTTCAGGATAATAAGTACTATAGTGTTGGTATGTACCTGAATACTAAATACAATGCAGTATGTTACAGAGCTACGTCACACTTTTGTCTGGAAATCTTGTAGTGCTTAGTTCTATGACAATAGATATAACCATAGAATAACGAGCATGTTGTCCGACAGTTCAGAGTTTTATCACAGATATCATTTTACACTTCAGATCTGTGAAATCAATAGACATATATATGTCATATATATTCTTTTCCTTCCAATCAAACACTAATCCTTGTCCTCATAAAACTTCATTGTGTTTTTTCTGTCGGGATACAGGCATTATTACAAAACTACACGATACACACAAACAGCTATTAAGGGTAAACATTTGATGTTGAAGAGGTTACATTTTGGTGTATAATGTATAACAGGACTGGAGTACCATTCCTGCTTACAAATAATATTTTATTTAACCTCTGAATACCTACAATCTACTGTTACAATAATCTTCATTACTTTCTGGTTACAGGTGGATGATTTCCTGATGGATAAAATACTACCTGCATGTAGAATCCCCCCACCCCGTAGCCCTCCTCACCCATCCCAAGTGACCGCGGACCACCCCACCTTTGTGTTGATGAGCTTCTGGTTACAGTATTATGACAGTGACATTCGTATAGTTTCAATAGTATTGATATAAGTCATACACAAGTCTGGATGTTTCATTAAAATATTTGTTCTTGTATACTTAAACATAGTGTTTGTGTCATATCATATCTGTTGTAAGAATAGCTCAACTGAGCTAAAGTAGCTTCGTTTTAAAACATCACGTTACATAAAAATGTTGTGTATCTTTGAAACTGCAATACATGAACTTGTATGTGTTTAGTGCAATGATGTTGTACAGAAGATTAAAGAGGAATCCTGTACAAAACATTGTACCGTACAGCAGGAAATTTCTGTGGGGTTGATATTTTCACGATTTCGTGGGTCAATTACGTGACCGCGAAAACATGATTCGCAGAATAAAATGATAAGCAAAAAAATGATTTGTGATATGAAACTTCATAACAGTAATGTCGTAATGGAATAGCAAGTATGTGGTTGTAATAATTCATATACATAAAGAGTAATGATTTTTGAAATAGGAAATATCACACATCCTATAGTTCTGCTGATGGTTTGTTTAAGAAAAGATACTTGCATGCTGTTTTTCAATATGCTGTCATAAGCCTATTCGTTTGATTATTTAAGGCTTTATATGCTGAATGTCACCTTTGTGTGCTAATCAAAAACACTAAGATTTGGCTCTGTCATATGTCTAGATCGTGAAGTTATAATCGGTGTAAGTTTAATTAGTTTTGGTTCAAAACTGCGACCATTTAAGCCCGCGTAAATAAGCAGTTACACGGTATCTTATCTAGTGTAAAAAAGTGATTAGTATTACTGTGTTTGGTATCTAGTTCATGTCTGCTCTTGAATACTGAGAAATAAGTACTACACTGTACTAGTGGTGTGTCCGATACCTATCCATACAACGTAGGTAGTGTAAAATGCTTTGTTCTGCTAACAATGTATCAGAAACTTGGATATTTTTGGGAGGGCCCATACTCAAAGTATATCTATTAGATAAATATATGAAACGTCTTAATTTGAATTGACAAATATCCAAGGCTGTGCGTTAATTTTTTTTCTTTCTCTGACATGGCCACAGTGATTACTGTATGTAAGTTTGAATTGGTCTCACTCGGTGTTGATACATCAAAGGAAATCTTTCATTGTGATGCAACATTTTCATTATATGTTAAGTGTAATGTAGATAAGAATCTATATTGTAATAGCTTGATTACTGTCGTATTACATTATCACAATGAGTACCATATTCGCCATAATTAGCACCCCTTCCTGTATAGCGCCCTCTGTTACACAAATGAAGCACCGGTATTCCACTTCATAGGAGACTATTATTACAATCTTGACTGCACATTCGCTGATGAACAACTTGGGAATTTTTCACAGGTTAATGTATTGGACAGTAATTAAATTATGTGCAAAAAAGCAACTGTCTTAACTTTTTTATTTAATCCAAATAAGTGCCCCTTTTTAAATGGATGCATCCGAGGAACTGATTATGTCGAATATGAAAATAATTGTTCATAATTACAAATGATCTACCAAACTTCACATCAACTAGACTAAGTGTACTGGGTAATATCACAGACAGGTAGAATGATCTACAGAACTTTACATCAACTAGACTAAGTGTACTGGGTAATGTAACGGACATGTAGAATGCTCTACAGAACTTTACATCAACTAGACAAGAGTACTGGGTAATATCACAGACGGGTAGAATGATCTACAGAACTTTACATCAACTAGATTAGGTGTAGTACTGGGTAATATCACAGACAGGTAGAATGCTCTACAGAACTTTACATCAACTAGACAAGAGTACTGGGTAATATCACAGACGGGGAGAATGATCTACAGAACTTTACATCAACTAGACTAGGTGTACTGGGTAATGTAACAGACGGGTAGAATGATCTACAAAACTTTACATCAACTAGACTAAGTGTACTGGGTCATATCACAGACAGGGAGAATGATCTACAGAACTTTACATCAACTAGACTAAGTGTACTGGGTCATATCACAGACAGGTAGAATGATCTACAGAACTTTACATCAACTGGACTAAGAGTACTGGGTAATATCAGACAGGTAGAATGCTCTACAGAACTTTACATCAACTAGACTAGGTGAACTGGGTAATATAACAGACAGGTAGAATGATCTACAGAACTTCACATCAACTAGACTAAGAGTACTGGGTAATATCACAGACGGATAGAATGATCTACAGAACTTTACATCAACTAGACTAGGTGTACTGGGTAATATCACAGACAGGTAGAATGATCTACAGAACTGTACATCAATTAGACTAAGAGTACTGGGTAATATAACAGACAGGTAGAATGATCTACAGAACTTTACATCAACTAGACTAGGTGTACTGGGTAATATCGGACAGGTAGAATGATCTACAGAAATTTACATCAACTAGACTAAGTGTACTGGGTCAGATCACAGACAGGTAGAATGCTCTACAGAACTTTACATCAACTAGACTAAGTGAACTGGGTAATATCACAGACAGGTAGAATGATCTACAGAACTTTACATCAACTAGACTAAGTGTACTGGGTAATGTAACAGACAGGTAGAATAAAAGCTTATATACAATTACATATACAGCGAATTCATGGGATAAGTTGTGGATTTGACACCGATGTTGTAACCATGGTAAGCTGGCTTTGGTAAGATTATGTATGTTACACAGAGGGTATATACAATGTGTTTCTGTAATCATTATATCATATATCAGTGTGGGAGGTTTAATTAAAAGATTATGTATGTTATACAGAGGGTATTTACACTGTGTTTCTGTAATCATTATATCAGTGATCAGTGTGGAGGGTTTACTTGTATAGGATTGTTTGTGTTATACAGATCGAGGGTATATACAATGTGTTTCTGTAATCATTATATCAGTGATCAGTGTGGAGGGTTTACTTGTATAGGATTGTGTGTGTTATACAGAGGGTATATACAATGTGTTTCTGTAATCATTATATCAGTGATCAGTGTGGAGGGTTTACTTGTATAGGATTGTGTGTGTGTAGTGTACCAGCTATCCACCACCAAGCTTCATGGGAAACACAAATTAATACTAACAGTAGAAATGAATTGTTTTTGTTGAACTCATTGTATAAAGTGAGCTGCTTTTAATTTCTTCATTTTTGATGCTTTCAACATTCCTAAATAATAGTATAAAGGAACTGCATCATCCCTTATTAGCCCCGCTATTATCAGTGTCAGTTATATTTTCTGTAGCCCTTTCGTAATCAATGATTATTGAATATAATAATTGATTTTAAATATTTTCTTCACAAAACATTTGGTGAATAAATGATAACATGTCATGGTACACTGAAGTTACTGGTCCCAGATATAGTGTAACCAAGTGTTCATGATGCAACACTTTTATGTAATGTTTTATTGACTTGTGAAAGGAATAGAGGGAATCTGAAGGAACAGTAGGATGCCTCCGACCTCGCCCCCTATAACGCTATCCAACCACTATATTTCCAGTGGATCAATGGCAAAATGTCTCCACGAATGGGCTAGTGGGAGGCACCATCTTACAGTGAAATCTGTCTAAACCAACGCTTATCAGACCAATAAAGTTTATTTCCATGCAAAACGACAGGTTTTACAAATTACACAGGAAAGGTAACACAACACACGTTGTGTAGAGTAGAACTTAGACTAGTGGAAGGTTTTCTTTGCAAAGGTCTCTGTATTATACAGTGCTACATAGGAATGTATACTTTGGACCAAGTAGGTCTGCTTTCCACTGATTTTAAAATAGTCCAATAATAATAAATACAATGTACATAGAGTATGGTAGTGAGTTAGGAACTTGTTTTACTAAATACATAGAGTATGGTAGTGAGTTAGGAACGTGTTTTACTAAATACATAGATCGAGTATTTAGTGCCCTGTTTTAATAAAATCTTTACCTATTTTGTTGTTTTCTGTGATTGCATTATTTCCCTGGGTAACTTTATCCTTCTCTCCCTAAAAACAACAACATTAATATCTGGGATTGCTGTATTCATTCTTCAGTGCCTAAAATCAACAATATTTGATATAACATATAACATAGATGTCAAACCTCCCTCATTTTGCATATTTGCCAACTCTTCCTATTTTGTAAGGAGACTCGATTTTGGACTCTATTTACTAAACTATTCCTGTTTTCTGAAATAACAGCTCAAAATATGCCTTTTAATGTTTTACCTAGGGTGTACCATATACACATTTTATTTATGCTTTTAATTCTGAATATGCGTAATCTCCCTCATGGAATTTTGAAAAGTTGGCAAGTATGAATTTTTGACCAAAATTTACCAATCTCCCTTGAAACTCCTTCATTCAAACCCAAACTCAAAATCTACATTATGTGGTCAAATGATCTATTAACTGCAGGTTGTGTGGAATGATCACAACAGTTGTGTCTGAATAATTTTCTGAGTTATTTTGATACAAAAGGGAAAGACAAATTGAGCAAAGCAGTTTAGGTTGCATTTCATGCACTTTTTCCCTCAGTGGAAATGTGGAAAGAGGGAGATCTCCCTCAGTGGAAAAGTGGAAAGAGGGAGATCTCCCTCAGTGGAAATGTAGAAAGAGGGAAATCTCCCTCAGTGGAAATATGGAAAGAGGGAGATCTCCCTCAGTGGAAATGTGGAAAGAGGGAAATCTCCCTCAGTGGAAATGTGGAAAGAGGGAGATCACCCTCAGTGGAAAAATGGAAAGAGGGAGATCTCCCTCAGTGGAAATGTGGAAAGAGGGAGATCTCCCTCAGTGGAAATGTGGAAAGAGTGAGATCTCCCTCAGTGGAAATGTGGAAAGAGGGAAATCTCCCTCAGTGGAAATGTGGAAAGAGGGAGATCTCCCTCAGTGGAAATGTGGAAAGAGTGAGATCTCCCTCAGTGGAAATGTGGAAAGAGGGAAATCTCCCTCAGTGGAAATGTGGAAAGAGGGAGATCTCCCCATTGGAGGTTTCAGAGGTTGTCACCTATGAATAGTCAGTTATGTGCTTTATTTGTTTTAATTTTTCAGTTATTAAAAATCGTGCATCCAAGGCTTGTTCAGTATTTGAACAGTAGTTATCTTTTTAAACACAATTAAAGCTTTTTTTCAATTACATGTCAAACTTTGAGGTTAAATTAAGAACATTCATCAATGACATGCTAAAATACAACATATTTCTCTGAATAAACATGTCATTGATATCTTGCTGTATGTTATGTACACTTATTTGTATTGTGATGTCTTGCACTCTAATAAAGATATTTGAATTGAATCAAAATTTAATTCAAAAGGAATGACATGTTCTTGTGTTGCCCTGTGTCACTGCTTGTTGATCTATTTTTGGGTGCTGGAAGGCGTTTAATTAGGATGAGGGTGTACTTTTTTTTTTTTTAGAATAAGTTTGTTGTTCCTTGGTGAACAAAGGTGTATGTAGTAAAAGGGAAATAAAAGACAGATAAGGGGCCCTGTTGCTCAAAAGGTGATCAGCTCAATAATGTGCGATTACCGGAAGCGCAAAAAAAAACCTTTTTTTTATTTACAAAAATCAACCATTGACTGATTTAAATCTTTCCAGATAGTAAATATTTTAGTTGAGAAAAATTATATACAAAATAACAAGATTTTACCTTGTATATTGTTCAATTTTCAGAAGCTGAAAATTTCATTAAACAGTGATTAAGTTAATCAACTTTTGAACAACAGGGCCCAGATTATCTTTACATATATTGTTTTTGGCAACAACAGAATTAATTTGGCAACAGTTAGTACTTTACAAATAGAGTACATTCATACTTGGTGCTGGCTTATACTTTTAAAAAATTGGTTCGTAAGATCATTAATTTGTTATCATTTTAAAAGCTAGACCAGCTATCCGTGTCCTGCCTTGGTCTTTACTCTCAGCTCTCTTCAATTTTACAAACACAACGTTAGAAACATAAATACAGTACTATTGTTTTGTAGATCTTGATGCTGATGATGATGATGATGATGATGAAATAACGATTTCGATGATGTTGTTGCTGCTGATTTGTGATGAATGTACCAGTTATATGAAATTATTTATTGTTGGACAAATGCAAATCCTATAAGTTGTTAAACTTTCGGAAATAAATTGAATACAGCTAGTTAAAGGAAAAATTGGTTATGGTCACACTGGAAAACAATAGAGGTGTCATTATAGTCTGTTCTGGTATAGTACAGGTATATTATTTACCTGTTTAGCAATAGGAAATACTGCGTTATTTATAGGAATATTTAACAAATATATTTCCTGATTTTCGTAATATTTACTGGAATTATGAATAAATATATACCAGATTCCAGTTATTACTTAATAAAAAACACATCAAAATACTTAAACTGAAAACCTGCTTTTATTAATTTCATATTAAATCAATTTTATACATTTTTACTATACATTCACATGTATGTTATATGTATATTTCATAAAATAGAACTAAATTTAGCAAGCAATTTATGACAAATACAATCAGTAAAGACAGATCATGTATTACATTATTAAATATGCAAAAACAGATGAAAATAAATAAAACAAATTAATTACATGTACACATGGAATATTAAGCGCTGGTTGATCAAATCAATCATATTCATAAAATGCACACATGCACAAAGATGCATGATATAAAACTAATTTAATAGCACTTAAACTTACTAAAGGTGAAATATTGGAAAGTCCATAAAAAGCACAGATAATGAAAAGTCCATAATTTTAAGAAATTCTAGGAAAGCACCAAATAATTACATCTGTTGTACCATTCTCCAAGCGTCCCTTTAGTTGGTTAAGGCGACTGTCAATGTTACAGTAGTCTTTTTCTCTTGGTCATTATTATCAACTAGAAACATCAGTGGACCCAAACCATATAGAAATAATAACTTATGATTATATTTTAGGGGGAAATAATCCAATGAGCAATACAAAGTTATGAATAATTACACTGAAGACGCATTTATTGGTAAAAAAGATTCTCTGAAAATAATGCTCCAATAAGAATTTGCTTCACCCTAAATTAAATAAATTTAAATTAAAATTTTAAAATCTAAATTAATCAAAGCATTATCATCTATATATATGCTATTAAGTATATAAAATATATAAAATATTTGTGGATTTCACGTTACTGTTTTGTATGGATCTAGCTGATGAAAATGGTATATGATATGAAAATAAGACTATATCAAAGCAGGGACGTATAATACTGTCCCTGATCAAAGCTACATGTATGTGACAGTACTAATATTCGTCTGCTGGATAACGGAACTACTCGGTAGTGAAGCGGACGTAAAACCTATCAATCAATCAATCAATGACAGTACTGTATATATGATACAGGTAATGTGGGAGAACACAGTTAGAAACCAGTTAAAATATATATGAAACAGACTATAACTGCTATCACAACATTACTGCCTCTATGGGTTTTTTTTTAAAGTGGGAGAAAAAAGAACACACCGTCTGGCACCAGATGTTTAAGGATTATGTAGACAATATGTACTCCTTTACTTACTAACTAGTGTTTATGTTGTGACACAATAGCTTAATTGACATTCATCACTCCACCCAAAGAGCAGGAAACTGTAAACTCAATTAAGGCACCTTACTACGTTTGACATCAAAGTCTCTAAATCTCAATGCTAATAAACCCCATTTAATTGGCCTCGAGCATATTAGCTTATCAGCAGCACAATCTCACACTGACGTCATAGTACAAACTTCTACAGGTAGTGCATGCCCAGGCTTCCTGTTAATCACCTGTCAGTGTCCTTTTGATCTGGGTGCAGGGTAATCTCGGCTCAGTGACACCTGTCACTGTTGTCACCTACAAATACTAGTAACCAAAAATTTGCCTGTGGTCATGGAAAATAATAAAATATGAAAATGTTTCCCTTTAACCGTCAGAGGTCACTTTTTCGTAGCTAAAGAATAATTCTTTATGATTGACAGTATAATCCACGGGGATCTGACAAATTTCAAGACAC